ACATGATAGAAGGCAGCACAAGGGAAAGGTGCCTTCCCAACCCAAATGCTTCTCATGAGGCCCCACCTCTTTATATTTTTATGGTATGCCATCAGGTGGTGCTATTTTGGAAGGTGCTGGGAACTTCTGGGGGGGGCCGGGAGGGTCTAGCTGGAGGAAGTAGGTCACAGGTGACATGACCTGGGGATGGGACACTCTACCTTATCCCCAGCCCCTTCCTGTCTCCTTGTATCTTTCTGCTTCCTGACTGCCAGCATGTCCTGCTACCATGGTGTTCTGCCTTGCCTCAGGCCCACAACAGTGGATCCAGTTAACCTAGGAGGGAAAACCTTTGAAACTGTGAGGCAAAATAAATCCTTCCACCTTTTAAATTGTTTCTGTCAAGTCTTTGTCAGAGCAATGAAAAACTCATTTAATGACAATGAAATGAGTTTTGGAGGGGGGGGGGTCACTCAAACAACAGCAATACAGCAATCATTTATGACTGATAAAACGGCGATGCATTATCAATTGGTATGTATTATGACACAGCCTGCTGTTATTGGTAAAGCGTTTTTAAAGATAGTTCCTACTCCCCTGAAAAAGGAATAAGTTATACTCACCTCCTGCTTGTAATGCTGTAGCAATCTGTCAATTTAAAAAAATCAAAAGCAGTCAGGCAACAGTGGTTCACGCCAGTAATTCTACTTAGAAGGCAGAGATCAGGAGAATTGTGGTTGGAAGTCAGCCCCAGGCAAATAGTTCGTGAGACTCATCTCGAAAAATACCCAACACACACACACACATACACACAAAACAACCTAAGGCTGGCAAAGTGGCTCAAGTGGTAGAGCACCTGCCTAGCAAGTGTGAGGCCCAGAGTTCAAACCCCAGTGCCACACAAAAAATAAAAATAAAACCCCAGTACTGAGAAAAAAAATAAATAAATAAACAGCCCCTTAAGCAATCATGACCAAATTTAAGCCTTTAGTATTTTCATAGAAAATTAGAAAAAAAAAAACCTTTCCAAAAAAAGGGAAAGTGAAATATACACTTAGTATAAAAATTATAGTTAAAACATTAATTTTACAAGCTTTAGGAAAAATGTAAATTGACCGATACCAAGAATCTTCATGAGTCTCATCATGTGTCCCTGTGAAGTGCCCCTTGTAGTGCGTCTCCGTGTTCCCGCTCTTCTTGTAGCTTCCCAGATACAATGTCTTGCACATGCCATAAACTTTTACCCCCATTATCTTTTATAGTTAATGGCTATGTTAGAATATTTCTTTTTTGTTTTAAGACAGGGTCTCAGTGAGTACCTCAGGCTGGCCTTGAATTAGACATTTTCCTGCCTCTGCCTCCCCAGTGTTGAGATTACAGGTGTGCACCACCACACATGGTTGTATTCTAACATTTCTTCCTTTAAAATGTCCCGTCTGAATATCTGAATGCCAAGCAACAGTCTCAATTTCAAAAGAATACACACACACACACACACAAACTCCAAATACTATGATCACTATGGGCTATAAACAACAAAACCCATAAGGAGAAATGTATAAAGTTAGTTTTCTAAAAAGGAAGATCATTATCAGCATGGGAAGAGTTGAAAGAAGCCAACACATTAAAATATTAACTGGGACTGGAGGAGTAGCTCAAGAGGTAGAGTGCCTGTATTGCAACTCAAAGCCCTGAGTTCAAACCCCAGTCTCACTAAAAAAAAAAAAAAAAGTAGAGGGTACAAAATATTAGCAGTTGTTCTTCCCCTGGGGGGGTCCTTATGTGATTTCCCCCGCCACGTTTCCTTTACATTTCCTCAGTTTTATACAACAAACATGCATTTTTTTTTTACTTTCTTTTTTTTTCCTTTTATTATTCATATGTGTATACAAGGCTTGGTTCATTTCTCCCCCCTGCCCCCACCCCCTCCCTTACCACCCATTCCGCCCCCTCCCTCTCCCCCCCCCAATACCCAGCAGAAACTATTTTGCCCTTATTTCTAATTTTGTTGTAGAGAGAGTATAAGCAATAATAGGAAGGAACAAGGGTTTTTGCTGGTTGAGATAAGGATAGCTATACAGGGCATTGATTTACATTGATTTCCTGTGCGTGGGTGTTACCTTCTAGGTTAATTCTTTTTGATCTAACCTTTTCTCTAGTACCTGTTCCCCTTTTCCTATTGGCCTCAGTTGCTTTAAGGTATCTGCTTTAGTTTCTCTGCAGAGAAGCATGCATTGTTTTTAAACTTAGAAAAAATGCTCAATTACAGACTGGGAGTTGCTCAAGAGGTAGAGCACTTGCCTAACAAGTGCAAGTTCTTGATTTCAATCCTCAGTATGCAAAAAACAAAAAAACTTCGGAGGCGGAGATGGGAGGATCACACTTCATGGCCAGGCCCACAAATAGTTCAAAAGACTCTATCTTCACAATAACCAGGGCAAAACAGACTGGAGGTGTGGCTCAAGCAGTAGAGAACTGAGGCGTGAAGCCCTGAGTTCAAACCCCAGTCCCACTGAAAAATGAAACAAAACAAAGTCACCTTTACCACAACTTGTGGATTCTCACTGCTCCCACCTTCTCCTGCAGGATCCCAACACCCTCCTTCTTCAGGTCTGGAAGCCACCTCTCCTTAAACTTTGTATGGCTTGTGCACATGCTCCTCAAACTTACTCACAGCATATGCAGAGGCTAGCCGCTGAACAGTCCACTTAAAAAAGGTTTTCTCACCCTCAGCATCCTCACATTAGGAGTAATTATTTCTTAGGGGCTGTCCAGTTTTAGGATGCTTACCAGTATTCCTGGCCTCTAGCCAGGAGATTGTCAGTAGCACCCCCTCCCTCACAGTGTGACATTGCTCAATGTCCCCTGGAGAGGAAAAATGCACCCAGTTGAGAACCACTGACTTAAAATTTTGAAACTTCCAAAATCTTATCTTGCTGTCTGCTCACATACATAGATATCAAACCTAACCCTCTGGCATGTGTTATGCAGGACAGTCCTGCCTCACATAACCTTCCTCAGCAGGAACTTTGCAAAAGACCAGGATTACTGTTCCCAAGAAAAATCATTTTCATTCTCAATTCCAAGTCTTCCAACAGCTTCCTCCCCAAAATTCCCTGCTACCTTACTCCATTCAGCTTCCTCTACCGCACAAATGAGGAGAACCAATTTCATTTCTTGTTGTTCACTCACATGCCCTCAGGTTTGTACCCAGGACACTTCCTTTGTATAGCCAACAGTGTCTGACATTGTGCTAATCAAAGAGAAATAAAAAATTTGATCACTAATGAAGAAGTTTAAAGGCTGGACTCTAAGTATAAACTGCTGGTGGTTAGAAAGTGATTTTTCCTTTTGAACTGCATTCCTTGTCATGGAGCTATTGGTTAAGTATTTTCATTCCAAATACTGAATAACCACTTGATTAGTTTTAGGAATTAACACACTAAGGTACAGTGGCTTATTTTAAAGGAACACATAAGTTTTTAACTGTCCTCTACACTTTCAGGAAATTATACAAAGAATCAGAACCATAAACATCATACACATGACCTTTCTGAATTCTACTGATGTTAAAATGCTCAGTGGAGTTTTTGGTAAGGCACAAAACTTAGGTGTGATCAATGTGAGTAGAGAACTTGACCGGAAAGACATGCTCACACAAATATCTCCAAGGTTGAAGTAAATGAAATGAAGACACTTGGTAGCCAAGTAAGAGCCATCTGTGAAGGAGGCAGCAGAGCTGCAGGGTGCTTCCAATCGTATTAGCAGTGTAACGATCTACAAGAAACTTGAGCTTCCCTGTGCCTCAATTTCCTCGTTGTCAAAATGGCGATAATAATACTCTCTAGTCTGAAGCAAAGCCCTTAAAACAACGCTTAGCACACAGAAAACACAAATATTACTCACTCCCATTATTACAACGCCACCTTTTAGCCAAGTAAAAGCCTCAACTACAAAGTTCTGATTCAAGTCTGAAGCTGGTTTAAAAGAGGAAAAAAAAAAAACCCAGGATGATTGCTATACAGAAGTTTAAGATATTAATTGCACTAGATAATTTTTCTTTCTTTTTTTGTGGGGCTGGAGTTTGAACTCAGGGTTTCATGCTTGCAAAGTCTACCCCTTGAGCCATAACTCCAGTGCATCTTGCTCTGGTTATTTTGGAGATGGGGGTCTCCTAAACTGTTTGAACCGGATGGCCTCGAACCTCGATCCTCCCGGTCTCAGCCTCCCAAATAGCTAGGATTATAGGCGTAATCCACGGGTGCTCAGGGATTTTTGCAAGTACGAAATTGGTGGTCATTACAAAACTGCCATTTTTTTTTTTTCCTGAATCTGCCAAGAATCTGACCTAGACACCTGTTTGCAAGGAAGTTCGGGAGCTTCGGAAAAACAAGCCATTTCTTTGTTATCTCAGTGGGAGTGCAGTGAAGGGCGCGGGACAAGCCCGGCTAGTTACAGAACCACCTTCCAACCTTACAGCAGTCACCGACATTCGCACGCAGCGATGTCACCTTTCTGTCCTCCGAAACAAAAGCCCATCTGACTGTCAGGGGCCTGTCAGGCGCCGGCCGGGGCGGCTCCGCGTCCTCCGCCGTGAACGCCTAAGTGACAGCAGGTCGGACCCTGCTACTCCCGCCCGGTACCCGCCGGCCCTGGGCCTGAGCCCGCGGCCCGGATTCCCCGTCCCTCCCCCACACCGGCGGCGCCCCGCGACCCCGCCCCGCCACCCCCGCCCCGACGCCACCCCACCCCACCCCAACCCCGACGGAGCCCCACGACCCGGGTTCCCCGTCCCTCCCCCCGCCACCGGGGGCGCCCCGCGACCCCACCCTATCCCAACCCCGACGGAACCCTGCAACCCGAGTTCCCCGGCTCCCCTGCCCCGCGGAGCCCCGCGACCCCGCCCCGCCCTGCCGCGGCCCGGCCAAGCCGAGCGAGGCCGCCGCGGGGCCCGCGCGGATCCAGGGCTGCGTCAGGCCCCCGGGGCCCTCACCGGCCCAGTTTGCCCGGACGTCACTCACCGGCGCCTCATGGTACCGCGGCGCCTCAGCCCAGTGCGGCGCTGACACTGCGCTCGGCAGCCTAGAGCGGCCCTTAGCTCCCGGGCCCGACCCCACTCCCAGCCATTCAAACGCCGCCGCGCGCGCGGCCCGCCGGGATAGCTCCCCGGGCTCCGCCCACCGCCGGCCCCGCCCCTCGGCCTCACCGCGCAAGGGAGGGGGAGAGGAGTGTTGCCACGGTGCCCCCTGCTGGCCACAGGTGTGTACGACGCCTTGCTGCAAGGCGGACCTGTGGTGACCTAGGGTCAGGGATAACCCTGCAGGGCAGGGAGAGACCGAGTCTCTGTGTCAGACCAGAAAGGGCAAACAGTGGGAACTAGGGGGTGGGAATATGAGGTTTGTATGATGTACTTTTAGTTACTGAAGGCAATTCTTTTCATCTTCCTGGAGCCAGAATCTGCCCAGCTTACAGGTAAGCCACTGGCCAAGGTCATCCAAACTGTGCCAGAGGCACGTTTGTTTTCTGCGGCCCTCTCCTCGCTGTAAAAGACAGCCAAGCAGGATTTTGATAGCACACTTCCTCACCACCAGATCCACATCCTGGGGCTCATTTCTTTAGGCAGCTCTTTCAGAACTCTCATGGACTTGTGTAAGGAAAAGCCTGCTTCAGTAATGTTTTTGAAGTTTCCCCCTCTGTGCCAGAAAAACGTTATCTCCAGGTGCTGACAATACCCAGAAGCAAAGCAGCTCGAAAAGGCTCGCAGAATCAGCATAGAAAGGTGTATCCTTAATGTTGTGGGCAGAAAGAGCAATGGTGAGGAGGGAGTGGGGGGTCCAATAAGGAAACCAGGCCTAAGATGTCATTAGCTGACGTACGATGTATTTTTCTCCCCTAGTAACAGGGTTCTCACTTAATCCCCCAAAATTAAGTAATGATGAAAATTTGAGGCAATTCTTTTGGGCACTGGGAAAATATTTTTAGGATATTTTGCTTGAGCAATGCCTCTGAGATTGCACCTGGCACAAGCAGGCACATGCCTAGCTGGGGCCACACCTTCTAGATCCAGCTGGGTGAATGATCAAGGGAACTGGAGCCCTGGGCTCCTGGGGTGGGGTGTACAACAAAGAATATTTCCTGCATATGGCTTCCACTACGTACTGCTGTTGTTTTAAAATAAAAGTTCAACACACATGAAATCATTTTCTCTCAAGCTATTTCTTCATCACTATCAACATGAATTTCTTGATGATCCACTATGCAAAAAGCCTTCTTGCTGGGCTCTCTCCAGACAGAATGAAAAGAGTGCAAGACATGTCCTTGTCAAGAGAGGCTGCATGATATGTAACAAATGACAGCGTCCTGGCACTTGGGGAATTTGCTGTGTTAACAGAAAAACCTCAGCTAAAATGAGGCTCCAGTTGCCTAATATTCTCATCTCTGGAGCTTGTCAGAGCACAGGGTCACGGTCAGGTTCTTTTCCAGACCCAGGTTCTGAGGTTTACATCAGTTATGAGCTGCTCAGACCTAACAGATCTCATAATAAACAAAAATTAAAGCTGACTTCTGAAATGTATACAGTTGGGCTGGCAGAGTGGCTCAGGTAGTAGAGCTCCTGCCTAGCAAGTGTGAGGCCCTGAGTTCAAATCCCAGTGCCACCAAAATAAATATATACAATTATTACCATTTTTTTTTAATAATTTTTATTAGGATATATTCATTATACAGGAGAGATTCATAGTGACAATTCCAATTAGACTTACATTGTACATTAGTTACATTTCCCCCATCGTCTGTCCCCCTCACTCCCTCCCTGACCCCACTTAAAGCAATTGTAAGAGGTTTCTCAGCTGTTTCATAGTTATATGAAGTCCATCAACCATGTACTGTCACCTTAATGTCCTCATTCCCTCTCCCCCTCCCACTAGTATTCCCCCATACACTTGTACCTATTTTACAGTCCTTATTTTCATTAATATTTAATAATGAAAGGGGTGTTTCAATGTATGCCTACTGTGAGTATACTTTACGTTGGTCCATTCAACCCCTTCCATTACTCCCCTTTCCCCTTTACCTCCCACCCCCCATTTTCAACAGCTTTTAATACACATCCTTGTGTCACATAACATCATATGGCATGTGATATTACTGATGCTCTATCATTCTCTTTTCCTTTCCCTCTTTCCCCCAAATTATTTCCATTTTAGTGATGAAAAGGCACTGATTCTTTTCCTGTCAATAAAGTTCAAAATTTTCCCTTGGAACTTAATAAAGTTTGATTTTTTTAATTAAAAAATTGCAGTCCATACATATATTTAATGCCTGTGAATAAAAAAGGGGAGTTCACCACAGGCCTTCCCAAGGAAGCAGGCAGCTGAGTTAACCTTTCTGCCTCACACCCCCTCTCTAAGGGTGTGGGAGGAGTCAGGGAGGATGTGTGGAGTAACCCAGATCCATTACACCCATTGACAGAAGAACCCCCATGTAAAGTCCTAAGTTCACCTCTTAATGATGGTCAGGAGAGGGACGGAGGAGGAAGGTTTGATATGGCCTGGCAAGCTGGTCAGGATTTTGACAGCCCTGGCGATCTAGACAGAGAATGAGAAGTGTGAAGTACATTCCAGGCCACTGTCCACCCCGTCTGAGTGGAATGAAGACAGCTTTGGAGAGTAGTAGGTACGGAGACTGAAAATGCCTGTTGGCCTCATGTTTGGAGGCATAAGGTGACAGCCAAGACCACTGAGCAGGGAAAGGACAGAGTCAAGTTCTTCCTTTCAAGGACTGATTTGTTACACGGGTCAGGATGGCTCCAGGGAGGGAAGCAGGATTGCTGGCAAGAGCCCCAAGAAAGTTCAGACGGGAGATTCAGGGACAATAGTGTTGCCACACTGTATGTCATGCTCGCCAACTCAGACTGATGCTGGCTAACAGAGGACAGTGCCTGAAGAGACCTAGCTCACAGCTGGAGCTCATCCATCCCTCCATGACCACATCACTGCTCGGCTTCTGCGCCTGCTGCAGTTGACTTTGGCAAAGTCAATCCCACCTTCCCATGCAGGCTGTGGAAGGAAGCAGGGGCAGAATTGGATAAGGCGATGGCAGTGTAAGTGAGCACATTGCCCTTCTGGTTTACAAGATGTGTGATTGTTTCAAACATCACCATGCTAAAGAGGCAGCAGGGTTTTTTTGGGAGGGGTGGGGGAGTGGTTGGGATTCTATTGTAAAGACAGTTTGTTTCTGGTTCATCTGCAGCTTTTTATTACACCTCTATAGCTGGGGTACAGATGAAATAAAAACACGTAGTCCACCCTTAGAAGTACAATTTAGTGCCTACAGCCATACCATCCTGAACGCACCTGATCTCTGATCTCAGAAGCTAAGCAGGGTCGGGTCTGGTCAGTATTCACATGGGAAAAGTAAAAACTAATGCATTTTAGAGGGCGTCTCTGAACCTATCCACATTTTAAACTGTATTAACTCTGTGATAAGTAATCCTAATTGTATGGCTGTCCTACAGAAGAGTACTGACATGTACCCAAGGATGTTCATAGCAATATTATTTTGTAACAAACAACCTACAGTCCCATCAACTGGGGAATGATTAAATTATCACTCATCCATCCATGCTCTGTACATGCTGAAGCCTTGGAAAAAGAATGAGATAGGTTTGCATGATACACTTGAAGACATCCAAGGCAGATGAGTGAAAAAGCAAGATACTAGCCAGTGTAGCTAGTATGTTCCTATTTTCGCCTTATTTTTGCAATGAGCAAGTTAACCAACCTTACATTTATGTACTTGTTTTAAGGAATGACTTTCTCTTTCAAGTACTAGAAAGTACCTGTAATTCTCCTTCAGCTCTTCTGTGTTCCACTTTGTTCTTGTATGAGTCTGCTTGGGCTGCCATAGCAAAATACTGAAAGGCTTAGCCAACAGAAACGAATTTTCTCACAGCTCTGGAGTCTGGGAGTTCAAGATTAAGGTACTGTGTAGTTTGGTTCCCTGGTTAGGGGTTTCTTCATGGTTTTCAGATGGCTGTTTTTTCATTGTGTTTTCACATGGTAGGGTTGGAGTCGGGGTTGTGGCAGAGAGCTATCTTGTAAGTGATGTCTCTTCTTATAAGGGCACTAATGCTGTCATGAAGGCTCCACCTTCATGAATGCATCCAAACCTAACTGGGGGGTGGTGGAGGGCAGGAAAGACACAAATATTCAGTCCATCCTGATCCTTCTTCAAAAGTCTAAGGTTATAAAACAATGCTTTATATCTGAACTGATGGACATTTTAAAAAATGAACACTTAGGAAAAAAAAACTTTCCAAAGGATTGCTCGTTCAGGAACTTGACTGAGACACAGCTTAGCCCACTTTCAGATATATGAACTTGATCCCTAGATAAATAGATGAATCCAGAGAAATCAAACTTGGAGAGCCCTGTTGACGATCAGTGCTGGATCATTGACTCATGGATGGTTGCCATTCCTACCCATAATGGGCTCTGTGGGAATGGGAACCCTCCCAGCTTCCTAAGCAAGTGCTGGAGGCAGCATAGTGTAATGGGAACTTGTTAAAATGAGGATTACACAACAGTTGTCCTGGAATGATGAAAGGTACTTGCTGAGGAAGAATGGTATTACTAAACCAACATCTTCTCCCAGCACCACACTACTATTTTGTGTCCCTGCTGACAGGAACATTTTATGACACTGAAAGCTAAGGAATCAGACATTGAAAACAAAAGTTGTAATCTGCATGGAGATGGTGTGGTCACAATGCAAGTTACATCTAACAAAAATTTTTTTCACTAAAGTGATCTGAAAATGCAGACAAAAATGGAGGGGGACATGTGTGCTCTTAAAACCCCACTACTGACATGGAATAAATTGCATCATGAATGAAATGATTTAAGGTGGCAATAATGACAGCAGAATTAAAACAAGCAGGGTTTGCAGTGGAGACTCATTCTGTTGAAGTTTCAAAGAGGTTTAGGAGCTCTTAGAGCATACTGGGAAAACTGGTTGGGCCAGGAGGGCTGGCCAAATGGAATTACTATAGCAACATTGTCTTCCTTTCTCTCTGTCTCCTTTCATTCTTTCTTCTCTCCCTCCCTTCCCTCTTTTTTTTTTTTTTGAGGTACTTGGGTTTTGAACTCAGGACCTCACACTTGCTAAGCTTTACCTCTTAAGCCATTTCACCAGTCCAGGCCTCCATTCTTGCAAGTCTGCCTGTATGAATAAAAATTTTCCTTGTTCAGGTTTCAATCCAATGCAACTGGTCAGAGGAGAATGGCATGAAACAACTTCTTTGACTCCTAGGAGGAGGCAGAAGATGAAATTACAAAAATAGACACAAAAGGGGAGTGGTGGTGTGTCTCAGTGGGAGAGTGCTTGCCTATTGTTTAGTATGTGTGAGACTTGAGTTCATTTGATCCCCAGCACTGCAAAATAAATAAGTGAATAAGTAAAATAAATGAAAAAATTGTGCAGGTGGCACAAATTATAAAAGCCAAACAAAAGAACTCACATGAGCTATGGAATCATAGTTTGTGTTTTTTCTTTAATTAAAATCGTATTTGCTCAGAGGTACAAAGCAAGGGAAATGTAGTCTTTATTTTACAGTTTCAGCATTCCCATAATTTTCCAACTTATGTCTAGTCTAGTCAGAGGCACACAAGGAGGCTCTCAAAAGCTACTGGTGTTTTTGCTTGCATTATTTTGTAAGAATTCAAACCTTGTTATTTACAACAACACAACACCTTTTAGATATTAAGTTAAATCTAACATAATAGAATAGGGGGACGTAAAGGGGCTTTCTGCATCTGTCTTCTTTGAGGTTAGGAAATCACAAGGCTCCTTGAAGTAGTAGAAAGATGGAAGGCATGTCTAGCAAAAGGAATACTGAAAACTCACCTATTATTCTTGTGTTTTGGGCAGGCTTACATCTCATCTCCATGTTTTAAAATAATAAACAGCATCCATCTTAGCCGCCCAGAATATTGTCTAGTGTATATAGGAGTGCTGCCAGAGGATATGACCAGAGTATTCGCCCAGCTCAGAAAGTATCAAGGCCACAGTAAGAACCACCATTTTGAGTCTTCACTCCCGTTTCCGGTGTGGGGGAACAGAAACCATATCTCCTTTTCTCCCATTTCTTCCTCCTCTATCCTATTATACTAAATTATGTCCTCACTAAAACTTCCGCCTGAGACTCCTTGTTGTGAGCCACCTAGAAATGCTTTTCACCTGTGGACCTCAAGTTCTGATGATTTTGCATGAAAACTGGGGAGCCAAAAGAACCCCACACGGGTAATAATACTAAGAGTACTGAGAACATCTTAGATGTGTCCAGAATATAATATGCAGTATTTCTCAAACCTATTTATCCTTGGAACCCTTCCTAAGCTCAGTCTTCATTTTTTCTGGAGCAAATTATACTATATAGGATTCCTAGGATAAAGGAATAAATGTCCTGGAGTACTCCATTAAGTCTGAAGTTACTTTTGTTTTTCTTTTTTGGTTAGCTGGGATTTAAACTAAGGGCTTCATGCTTGCAGAGCAGGCTCTTTACCTGTTCAGCCACACCTCCAGTCCATTTTGGAGATGGAAGCTGGCCTCAAACCACAATCTTCCCAATAGCAGCCTCTCAAGTAGCTAGAATTACAGGTGTGAACCACCAGCACCTAACCCAATGTGACTTTGATTCAGGTTATAATTGAAAATTTCTTATAGCAAGTGGGGGAATGCTTTAAATATGAATATGTGATTCCAATACAGGACTTAATGTTTTCCAAAGTGCTCATTTAAAATTAATTAGAGCTTACGTATACTGAAAATTCAGATAAAATTGCATGAAAATCATTACCAATACAATATTAACTTTTTTTTTTTGTGGTACTGGGGTTTGAACTCAGCCTACACCTTGAGCCACTCCACCAGCCTTTTTTTTTGTGATGGGTTTTTTTCAAGGCAGGGTCATTTGAACTATTTGTCTGGACTGCCTCTTGAGTAGCTAGGATTATAGCTCAATATTAACATTTTTGATCTGTATCCTAATTTTGTTTATTTTACCTAAGTGTAATTATAGTATATCCACACTTTGGTATGTTTACTTTCAATTTAATTTACACATTCGTTATCACAAAAAGAAGACTACAGTACAGTAAGATATGCTGAGGAAGAGAACACATTCATATAGCTTTTATTACAGTGTAGTATTATTAGACTTTGTTAATCTGTGTCTAATTTATAAATTAAACTTTACCCTAGATATGTATGTACAGGGAAAAAAAAAAACCCTGGTATATATAGGATTCAGTACTATCTGCAGGTTCAGGCATTCACTGGATGTCTGGGAAGGTGGAGGGCACTGTGGAATCAAGATAATTGACAGTTCTGCCCTCAAGGAATCCGGGGTAGGGTTCAGGGGGTAGAAGTAAGTGCTCAGGATGTGCCAACAAACAGAAGATAATATATTTAAGTGCTATCATGCAGAATACGGTGGGGCAAAAGAGAAGCCCAACAGAGCCAATGCCCTAATAAAGCTTGAGATGAATCTCTAAATTCTGTTAAGAGACAATGTGGTAAAGGCTGAGAAGTAGAAGGAAGGAAAGAAACCTACATGCTGGAGTGGATTGAGGGGGAGAAGACCTATCCGTTTCTGCCTCACTCAAATAGTCTGCTATATACATTTAACAGTTGTAAAATCGGAAACAAAGTGGAGGTGGTTCAGTGTCTGCAGACTGACTGTCATCTTCAAGGGTGCAAACTCTGCATTTGGACAAGGAGACCCTTTACAACATTGCCTCCCAACCACATTCTCACTGCATCTCCTCCCTGGAAACTCCAACCACATCAAATAACTTGGAATCAAAGAAATACAAATAAAATAATACCATTTTTGAACTTTTAATTTAAAAAAAATTATAAAGATGGTAGAATGCAAATGATGCTAAATTCTCTAGTGGTCATTTTGATGAAAAGTCTTCAAAACTGCATTACTCCTTGATCTAGCAATTCCACGTCTAGGTCTATAATTTAAGCAAATATGACTTATACAAGGATGATCACAATAATCTTGGTTATAAAAGGGGCTGAGGGACAGGAAGCAACTTAAACTCCACTTATAGGTTAAATTACGATACGGGCATACAACTGAATACAAAGTCCAGTCACCAAAGCCCAAACCCAAACCAGGCATATATGGCAGGTACCATTAATTTCACAATCAGCCTTGACAGCAGGTAATTACCCAATTTGATATATGAGATAGATGGACAGTGGCTTTAACTTGCTCACGGTGACAGGTCAATACATGACAAGCCAGACTTCATGGTGTAAAAATCAATTTAGGTTGGGTCTTTTCTGTCAAAGGATTTAATCAGTAACTACCGCTGTTACAAATGTTAGTCTCACTAACTTGCTTCCCATACTCTCGCTTCATGGACTCAGCTTAATATGATAAAAGTTTCTACTAAAAACAAAGGGTCCTTATCCTCAGCTGGGTCCCAGCAAGAATGCCGCTAGATGCTCTGCTTCCGGAGCTGATAACCTAAAACGGTTATTGCTTCCCTGAACCTTTAAATTTCTTTATTCCCAAAGCTCCTTCTTAATCTAGCGCCTTTCTAATTATCCAACCTCAGACTGTGAGCCTCAAACCTGCCCAATCCAGGAGCAGGAGAGGGACAGCATGGCGTCAGATAAAAGCCCCGCCCGGTGTACACCCTCCTGCAGAAGTAAATTTTGCCTTGTCTATTGATTTCTGAGTAGCGTCTTCTCTCTCCTGACACCCCAAGATCTTAAAGATATTTCTAACAATGGGGCCACCAGCCCAGATTCCGGCACGCCCCTTCTTTGTACGGATGCGGGGTGGACCCACTTCGTGCGCTACCGTAGGACACGCAGCCCTGGAAGCCACTAAACAGCTCAAGGCCACAATCTGAAGCCGCATTCAACTCAGGCTCTGAACTGCCGGCTCCCGGGGTCACACTCTTCTTGGCTTCAAAACCTCACAGAGTCTGTGGATTTTCCTTCTGCTCCGAGAAGCGTACCTCAGTCACTTGCGTCTGTTCAGAAGACAGTCCTAAGTCTGGCTCATTTCCCTCGCCGTTCTTTTCCAAATCCAAGTCCTCGCTCTTGAGGCCACACGTCAGCAAACTTCCGGGGCGAGGATGACGTATACACTCGCGCCGGAAGCGTGCTTGCGGAGCGACACACGGAAGTCGGCACGTCGTGGATAACGCCGTGACGGCTTGCGACAGCCGGACGTTCGGGTGTGAGGGCGACATTAGGAAGCGTCGTTGTCATGACGGCCCAGGGGGGTCTGGTGGCCAACCGAGGCCGGCGGTTCAAGTGGGCCATTGAGCTGAGCGGGCCCGGAGGAGGCAGTAGGTGAGGCGCCGGGCAAAGCATCACAGCACCAAACAGCCTCAGAGTAATGAGACCTGAGTCTGGAAAGGGCGGGTGCCACACAGACGCCACCGGGGGAGGTTGCAGGTTTTCTGCCTGCGGTGGAGCTTACTTTGCCCTCAGTCTTCCCAATAGGCCCAGGACGCAAGGGTCTCGTCTGAGTTAGGTGCATCTTTAGTCCTGTGACTGGGGGAACTGGACATGCATGTGGTGTAAACGTTTGGAAAGCTGAAACTTCAGTTTCTTGGACTGGTTTGTTCTTTAGGGGCCGAAGTGACCGGGGCAGCGGACAGGGAGACTCGCTGTACCCAGTTGGTTACCTGGACAAGCAAGTGCCAGACACCAGCGTGCAGGAAACCGACCGAATCCTGGTGGAGAAGGTACACGGGTATCGGTGTGACTGCGCCCTTGGGGCGGGCGACATCACCCCAGAAAGCCTGAATGTTTGGGGTCTAAGCTACTTGAGATCAGTGTTCAGTGTTCGACATGTCAGTTTCTAAAGACTTAATAATAATTACAGGCGTGGAGACTCAAAATAACCAGCGCAACATGGACTGGAGGGGTAGATCAAATGGTGGAGTACCTGCTTTGTAAGAGCAAAGCCCTGAGTTCAAACCCCAGTCCCACACACTTCCTCCAAAAAAGTGCTTAATAAAAGTGCAAGAATAAAAGACATTTGTTGAAAATGATCTGTTGGTAGTAAAGCCTTCCAGTCAAAGTCATCCTTTTTACTCTAGTTCCCTTACACTATACATCCAGTCTGCCAGGATGTTCTGTTGGCTTTACCTTACACACAGATCCCAGATCCTACTACTTCTTAACTCACCCCAACCACTCTCACACACCTAGATTTTTACATTAGACTTCAAAAAAGTGTGTGTGTCAATTCTTTTGAGATAGTGTACATACAATAAACTGCATTCAACTAATGCATGGTTTCTCTACCTCAACATTTGGGATAAATACTTTGTTGGGTGACTCTACTGTGCATTGTAAGACGTTTAGTATTCCTGATTTCTATCCATTAGATGTTAATAGTACCATTCCCTAGTTGTAACAACCAAAAGTGTTTCCAACATTAACAGATGTTTCCCAGAGGCAAATTGCCCTCAGGTGGGAACATCTGATCTGGTGGGTGCAATCTGATGAGCTTCCACAGTGATATATCCCCATGAAACCACTGCTACCTTGAAAGAGAACCTATCCTTAATCCCCCAGGAGTTTCTGGAAAGAATTCCCTTTCTGCAGTGGAATTCTGACTGGTTTTCCACCTTGCCCTCAGTAGTCTGTTCCCAGCACAGCCGTCAGAAAGATTCCTTTACACATAAGTTAGATTATTCCTACTCAGAATCATCCTATAGCTCCCCATTCATTCATTATAAAACTCTTTATAACATTCTACATAACTGCATTGGTCATGCCCCTTGTGGCTACCATTTTCCTATTTGTTGACTCCACATTAGTTATAATAGTTTCCTTGCTGCTCTTTAAGTCAGGCAAGCTCCTTTCTCAGGCTTTTTGTATTTGTTCTCCCCTGTTCTTGGAATGCTTTTCCTGCAGATTCCTTCATGACTTGCTCACTTCTATACTTTAAAATCTCTCGAATGTTACTGTCTTAGTGAAGTCTTCCCTCATGGCACTCTGTATGCTATTTTTTTACTGTATATTTTTTCATATCATTCATGTATGAGACCACTCATCTGCTTTATCTCTCTTGGAGGTTCCATGAGAGCCGGATTTTGTTTGATGTATCCCAAGTGCCTAAAGTGCTTGACACTTTCTTTTTCATATTTCTTCTCAACCTTGAGACTGCTCAGTACTACATGATCTTTGTTTCTGGAATGCATGTGATTTCTTCAACATGAGAACAACTGAGCCATTATAAATCCTTTTATTGATAAGTATTATCCTATAATTTTTATCTTGGCACATCAAAGTATAATTGAATACATGATAGCAAAATTATTAAAATGGCATTATTTTTAAAGATATGCTATAAAATACTTTTTTTAGAATTATGATATTGTCATTGTAGAGGGAGATAAAGTACTTAATTTTATAATGATTCTGTTGTATGGATGATTGGTAGGAACAGTTAAAAAATATGGCCATTCATTTTTTAATGTGAATAAACCAAATAGGTGGAGTGTGCATACATGTATATATATACATATATATATATCTATATATAGCTTAATGTACTTAATATTTTATTAGGATTTTTACATCTAAATTTATGAGTGAGACCTATCTATAAACTCTCCTCAATAATATCCTTCCCAGGTTTGGGTATTTCTGAAGCCCTATATATACTGTTTGTTTGAGTACTCGTTGAGGTGTGCTAATCTCCTAGTATGTGGATTTATCTATTTCTTCAGTTATAGAAGGGACAGCGATAGATGCAGAAGAAAACCAGGGAAATCTTTTAGCACAAGTCACAATAAAGAAATGCCTGGAAAACTCATAGGGCAAAGCATGAAAGATGGTGAGGCTTCCTTATCTATAGCAGAGAGCTTCCTGTGGTGACCTGGGGAAGGGAAGAGGTGGTAGAACTTGTGGCGGCAACTCAGTCACAAGCAGGGAACTGGGTTCATTTAGCTTTTGTGGGACTGGGGGCACTGACCAGAGGTTAAAACTGTGTTTGTTTCAGCGCTGCTGGGATATTGCGTTGGGTCCCCTCAAACAGATCCCCATGAACCTTTTCATCATGTACATGGCAGGCAATACCATCTCCATCTTCCCTACGATGATGGTGTGTATGATGGCCTGGCGGCCCGTTCAGGCACTCATGGCCATTTCAGCCAGTAAGTACTCTTCAAGTAATAACCCTTCCCTGAAATTTAGGAATCAAAGGCAAATTCTTGGCTAGAGGGTTTAAACAGTGATGGTGGTGGCAGATGGCAGGGATTGGTACTCATCTTGTTTTCTATCTTACTTTAGGTCTGTCTGTATCAGTGTATGGTTGACTTGATTCATATTGGAAAAAAAAAGTTTTGATTTTGATAGCTTGTTATCTCAACAGCTTTCAAGATGCTAGAGAGTTCAAGCCAGAAGTTTCTTCAGGGTTTGGTCTATCTCATTGGGAACCTGATGGGTTTGGCACTGGCTGTTTACAAATGCCAGTCCATGGGACTGCTGCCGACACATGCATCAGATTGGTTGGCCTTCATTGAGCCCCCGGAGGTAAGGTTAGATGTATAGTGAATAGCTGACTCATTTGATGGTAGGGTACTAAGAGTTGATAGTAATTTCTTAATAAAATCCATTAGGAATTTGGAAGTTACAAGAATAAGGCAAAATAGAGCCTGTGATTAAAGTATTAAGTAATTGATTTAGGAAGCTATTTCAGCACTCACCACTCATCTATGTATTGTTTCTTTTTTCAGAGAATGGAGTTCAGTGGTGGAGGGCTGCTTTTGTGAATTGAGAAAGCAGCACCTGGTGCCTAAGTATGGGGCCTCAGTTACACTCTTCCTCTCCCCCCCGCCACTTTGTTCATTGTATTTACTTTTCTTCTAATTTTATTTTATTTTTATTAGCATATTATTGTTCTCCTGGGGGAGTTACACCCTTCTGTAAGTCCTGTGGCTCCTAAGTAGACTCACTTGTGTTGAAAAGAACAAAAGCTCTTTTCTCCATGGTGGGGAGACAGATCCTGGAAGGACATTGTGCACATTGCTGCAGACACAAGGAAATTGTACCACAACCCCTGACTGAAAATAATGTAGAAAACTTTATTTATGTTTCCAGTACAGAGCAAAACAACAAATAAAACCAGAACTCTATGTAAACAAGAGAGTAATAGCTGCTAAGAGCAGTAGCAGCATCTCCTTTCAATAAATTAAATGGTTGAGAACAATGCTTTTTAAACTCACACGTTTCCCTTAAGTCTGTTTTAATATTTCACTTTTATTTAACAAAAGCTGAGACAAATTCTATCGGAAACACTTGTGGAAGATGTGAAAAACTAATGCTGTGTTCAGGTTAGACATGATGAAGAGAAAAGTAAACCAGAGAGAAAAGCACACAGATAAGCTTACAGTGTGACTGCTACTTTAATACTACAATAAGGAGTTTTAATTCTGGGGTAATGAGGACTGGTGGGATCCCTGGAGTCACAGGAATGGGAGGCAATGGAATATAAAGAGTAAGAACCTTTCCCCTGCCAAGAGGAAGCTGGCTTATCAAGCGACCCTGCAGCCCAAACTCCAGCTTTTAAGATAGCTGGAAGGCAGAGGCCAGTATGGGAGAATGTGTGTGCCCTGCTAAAGTCATAAGTAAGACATAAAAGCTGGCTCTTACTCAAAGGCAGGAGAAGGTTTTTCTCTTCCTCTTGAAACACAAAGCCCCTTCCCCTAAGGTGCATTCTTTTATCAAGTTTTCATTATTGCTTTATTTGCAGTGATTAGAGACGAGACACTTTGCAGACAGACAACATAAGCAACACATAGACATGAAATGCTCTAGACAGATGAGCATAAGTCTGGCCTAATACCATTTTTCCATGTAACAGTGATTTCGTGTTCTCGGGACCAAAATAATGGCTTTAGTAATAGCCACTATTTCCTTATCCCTTTAAGTAAGTAGATTTTTACAGCGTTCCAACCACAAACGTCCCTTCTAAAATTAACCTTTTTGCCCATATTTGTCCAATATGGGAAATAAATGTATCCCTTTGGTTAGGGTAATTGTCAATGTTGGGGAATTGCTGGCTAGGCTGACCTTTACAGTGTGGGTCTGAGATCTTGGATCCTAGGGACCTGACCCTCTATGGCTATACTCAAATATGAATGGAGTGTTGCAATGGGAGTTGTAGATACAGTTTCCACCCTCTGCAGAAAGGAGCAGAGAAAAACAAGTATGATCGGTTTGCTTTGCTACCCTTCATATAAAGAACAAATCAAAGTTAGTCAGTTTCTTAAGCCTTAATGTTTTTGTCTCTGGGTCTGATGACCTGTGAGAAGAGTTAGCTTGCCCTGTATTCTACTCAGTAATCAAAGAAGAGTGGCACTATTTAACACTAGTAAAGTGAAGTTTAAAGCTTGGAGCCATGAGTATAGGCAAGAAGACAGTGTCTTAAATAACTGTCTTGTAAAAGAAATGAAGATTTCACAAAGTTGAAATTACCGCCAGCCACATAGGCAGTTTCCCTTGTGCTGGTAAGCTAGGTGTTTTGTGATCACTAAGCTAGTAAAGAAAAAGCTGAGCTTGCACAAGTATTTCCTTGGCACATTCAAAGCATTCTGGAAACAACTCAACTAGCAGACCATTGGCTTGGGTAACTGCTCAGTTCAGAGCTGACTTTCTGCAGTGAAAGAATAAAACTGAAAGGAAAAGGAAAATGCTTATATTGGGCATGTAGGTAAGTGCCTCAAGGCTTGATGACAGCCTTGGAGGTGAGGGCACGGGTTTCTTAGTGAAAGGAAAGCTTGTACCAGGCCAGTCTTGGTGCCACCGTTAAGTAGATAAAGGAGAATAGCAGCTCAGTACTGTTGGCACTACAGGAGTATGGCTTTAGAGCAGAATCCTACTGCTGACCTCTCCAGAGCTTTCAGAGGATGGTTTTAGCCAGTCTTCCTTTGTTCCTTATTTTATTTATTTATTTATTTGACTACTATCTCAGGGCAAAAGAAGAAAAGAAAACCTAGTGGTCAATGTGCATCATGGACCTGTATTTCTTAGATGATAACTTTTATGTTTTGCTTGTGTCACACAGATAAATCTCACAGCTGCTCTTTGGAATTCCCTTATTTCAGCCATTTGGAAGGAACCTATCAGAAAAAAATTTTACCTTTTAAAAAACAATTTCCGTAGTAACAATGCCTGTGTTACAATCACAGAATGGGTTTTAAAAGAAACAGTTAAGTATACACTGACACAGTACAGACACTTAAACCTGGTATTATGAGGGAACCTTATTTTTGAGGAAGAAATAGAGGCTGCAGCCATGTTTCAGATTTTGTATATTAGTGCCCCAAAAATAAGAGTCCTAGAGAGCAGTAGATACACTAAAGAAGTTTTCCATCTTGGCTCACCACAGGTTATCTATCTTCATAAGGAGGATAGGCCCCCCCAAGTACTTGGCCATGAATTCCTCTGTCTCTCTCATGTTACCCTGTGGTTCATCACTGGACTATGAGTTCTGAGACTTCTTTAATGTTGACTGTGGACTTGCTTTTTGCCTTTAGTTAAAGTTCTAGCATCTTTTTTTTTTAGTCGATCACTACTGTTAATGGTGCCGAAGGGGTTCTGATGCATTGGCTTGGCTTGTTAATTCTAACTTGCCTTCTACTGGTACAGAAATGGCTTGTGGGGCTTGACATTCTTCTGACGTTGAGGGAATATTTGCTTCTGTTAGGACAGCAGATCACATGGCAGCCAAGAGCAGATCTATTGTACTCTTCTGCAGGAGTACCTGAGGCTCAGTGCATCGTGAGTTCAGGGTAACGTGCACAGACGTAAGCCTCCAGGGGAGTGGGCATGGTAGTAAAGAGCTGTCACTTCCACTGAGGACAGGAGCCTGACAGGAAAAGTGAGACCAAGCAGAGTCTGTCTAGGAGTCGATTATGAATAAATGGTGATCACTTCACTGCCACCACCCCGTACAAGGAGGACTCGCTCCAGTCCCTCGGTGAGCACTTCTAGGAATTCCATGTCTTCAGAAGTTGTCAAGGAGACAAATGGGCAGGAGAAGAGTACACTTTACAATCTGAGCTATCTGATCACAGAAATGCACACTCAACACGGCTCTCATTATTAATAGTTACATACTCAGAAAAGTCTGCACTTGGATTTAACTTAACCCTTTGAATATGTAATACAAGATCTTCCCACCTGTTAGATGTTTTCTAAATGTTACAAAAAATGGGGAAACTCAAATAATGTTATCCTGAGTGACAAGCTATTGGGCTGAGGGCATGGTTCAAGCCACAGAGCACTATACAGCAAGTGTGAAGCCCTGGGTTCAAACCCTAGTACTGCCAAAAAAAGACAAAATGCCAAAAAATAACAAGAAAAAGCCACAGCAGGGCACCTTATAAAATGCCTAGAGAGCACCCACATAATTTCTAAGTGAAGCTGCTCAAAAGTCAGACTTCCTTGTGTGTGTGTCCCACCTCCCCCCACCTTTTTTTTTTCAGGCAGGTCTTTGTAGCCCAGTGAGACTCTTGCTGCGGATGGAGTTTACAGGCAGGACAGCATGCCTGGCTTGTTTGCTTTTTTCTTTAAATTAAATAAAACCTTTTCTCCTTAGGGGTACTTGATAGGCATAGGCCAGTCTATTCTGAAGGGTTCTCATAAAAGCAGACCTGGGATGAGAGTATGGGGAAGTCTTAACTTCTTTTTCCCTTTCCAGTTAGAGGATCCACCTCAGCTGGTCCCCTAACTCCACCCCAAAGAAAGGCTTTGCAAAGTGGGTGGGGCCTGAAAAGGACAAAGGATGGGGGTATTCCTGTCTCTAGGATTGTCACTGGATATTGGATGCCTTGTTCCAAATATGTGCCCCCCAAAAGTCTTTAGGATCAAAACCTGTACCCACAATTACCCAAAAAAGAGGCTAATCAATCTCAAAACTGTAAGAACCTTTGCCTCAAATACAGAAACGGGCACAGATGCAACTCTTAAGTTACCTAGTTGTCTCAGCTAACAAATAGGCTAAGATCTTTCTTACTGCAAGCTCCATCTTGGGAAGGATACAGTTTTCATCACCCTCAGGGTTTCGGGGTGGCCCTGGCATGTTCAACAAAACCAGCTTTGCTTCGTGGGATTTGTTAACTATGACCTCGTTGAGCTTCACTGCTGTATGCATCCGTCTCACATTGGACTGGTCCCTGGGAAACGGACAAAAGAAAACTAGTTACAGTTGGGCTCAAAAACTTGGGATTTAGAGCTTTTTCACCTGACCAGGGATAATGGGATGAGTAAAATAACTTCATGGTGGTGTTAATATCTAGGGGTTTCTCACTCTGTTTGCTTATTTTAAAATAAGCATCTCCATGAAGATGAAGTGATGGAGAGAAAGTAGATGGTCATCTCTGTTAAGTGGGAGCTGATGTGCAAAGTCACATCTGAATATGTGAAAAGTTTGTGAGGGGGAGAACTTACGGCCGCATGTTAAGTAGGTCCTGGAATCCCTCCATTGACTTGGCCTTTTGCCCCCGGGATGCCATGTATTTGTCTTTTGTCCACGTCATATGCACCTTCTCCTGGTAGGTTTCTGTCTCCTCATCCTCATCAGAGCCAATGCTGGTCAGTCGTAGCATTGAGTTCCGGTCCTTCACCAACTGTGCCTGAGCAAGTCCAACACAGTTATTCCACCTCACTTTCAGGCTTCAACTATTTTGAAACATTAACGGGGTTATACTGGGATGAGTAATAAAATGAGAAGGAAAGAGCGTCATCCTGTGAAAACAACACATGGACAGATGTCAGAACCAGGACCACATCAACCAGCAAGGCCTCACCTCTCTGTCTCGCTCTGTTTTGGACAGCCGCATGTGGCGGAGCATCTGGGACCTCTGCTCCATCATCAGAGTGCGCTCGTAAGTGTAAGCCGATATGTCACTGTCATGCTGCAGGTGTCACAGTGGTGTCACAATGGGCCAAAAGCAAAGAGTTTCGAGAAAGTGAGACAAAACTTAACACCAGAAAAAGTATCACAACATCAGCCTTTCACTCTGTTTTGTTCAGGCTTTGAGTCTTGCCTGTAATCTAACCATTACATATATTTCCTTCAAACACAAAACACAAACTTTAGTTTTCACACATAATAAAGATGCAGTAGACAGGTAAGAATCTGGCAGAAAAATAAACACAAGCTGTGTAATAAAGCAAAAACAAAAAAGCAACCCAAGCACACAGTATTTATGCATTCTGTTCATCTAGGTCAAATCAGGGCTTTGTTGACCCAGGGGACCAATCCACATTCACAGCTGACAGTTCCCAGACCAGCAAAGGCCCTGGACTGACAGGGTTGGGTGGGGGATGGTGGTCTCTCTCACCATCTCCACCACCTCCACTTCTGCCTCGATGCGCAGGTGATATAGGAAGGTAGCCAGGTCCTTCTTCATCTGGATACTGTTGTCTTCCAGCTGGGCCACTGTGAAGATCCGTATGCTGCATTTTCGCCACACCTGACAAGAGTGTCGCACATACACGGAAAATTAAGTGTGATGAAACCAAAAAGACCCTGTGAGGCATTTTGTCCTGGAATGACCTTGCTATAGTAACAAGAGTGTTTCTTCCTATGGCAAAGGGTTGCATAGGCAACACAATAAATGCAGTTTTAAGAAGTTTTTTTTGAGAGGGGTTGGTTTATTTTCTGACAGGGTCTCCCTATGTAGACCACTCTGGTCTTGAACCCTTGATCCTCCTACCTCTACCTCCTGAGTGTTGGAATTACAGGCACAAACTGCCCAGCCAAGCTTTAAGGAGTTCTTTTTTAAGTGGTATGGAGTTTGAACTCAGGGCTTTGTGCTTGTGGGGCGGGCACTGTACTACCTGAGCCACACCTTCAGCTAAGGAGTTCTTAATTTCATAATGTGAAAAAAGCTGGCAAAAAGGGCAAGATGGCTCAGGTAATACTGTGGAATATGTAGGTGGCATACAACTAAAATCCTTGTAATCTTCAAAGTGATAATTCTGGGATTTTTGGGGTTTTTTTTTTGATGGTCCTGAGGCTTGAACTCAGTTTCATGCTTGCTAGGCAGGTGCTACTCCACCAGCCTGATAATTCTGATTTTGTGTGTTGAGGTGAGTAGAGCTGGCAGGCATTACATAACTTCAGAATGTGGGCTGTCACTGGAAAGACTAGGGCAGTATTAGAGGGTTGGGACTTTCAGCTCCAACCCCCAACCTCTGCGGAGGGCAGAGCGGATAAAGGTTAAAGTGACCACCAGTGGCAAATGACCTAGTTGAGCATGTGTATGTAGTAAGGCCTCCACCAAAACCTAAAGGACTGGGTTCAGGGAGCTTGTGGACAGATGAGCACGTGATGGTTCCTGGAGGAGGGACATGCCTCTTCCCAATGCCTTGCCCTCTGCATGTCTTCATTATAATATTCTTTATAATAAATCAGTAAATGGAGGAATGTTGTTTCCTTGAGTTCTGTAAGCCACTATAGTAAAAATCAAACCCAAGAAAGGGTTATGGGAACCCCTTCCATAAGATGCATAGGAAAACCAACCTGGGGCTTGCAACTGTCATCAAGAAGCGGGGCAGTGATTCTTACTGGACTGAGCCTTCTAACTGTGGCATATGATGCTACCTCCAGGTACACAGGTCAGGGTGAATTACAGGATACCCAGCTGCTAACCACTGTAAATGCTTGTCTGATTGATGTGGGCTGGAGTGGGGACCGCACATCAATGTGTCCTCACTTGTGAGTCATTAAGAGGGTGTCTTATTCAGATAGAACACCACGCAGACTATAATATTTACTATCTTAAATTTCATTTAGTCTTATCAAAGAATGAGCATGTGTGTATATGACACCCGCCCCCCCCCCCCCCCCCGCAAAGCTTCCTGACTTTGACTTTTGTCTTTTTTTTTTTAAAGATATGTTCATGCGTCACACTTTCTAAGGGCTCATCTGAACTTTTTTAATTTGCTGAATTTCACTTGCACTTAGGTTATTATCTAATACAAACAAAACTATTTCCTCTAAGATTGAAACTGTGATTTTGGGAGAGCTGGTAGAACAATTTTCACCTCTTTAGACTCTAAGCCCCAACACCATATAACCAAAGGAGAATCTGTCTAGTGACTCAGGACAGAAGGGAGGAAGACTTTCTTAGAAACCTGTCTAAAATACCTTGTGCTGTTTTAGAAGGAAGGGTAACAGCATGAGCATTCCCCCATCATGCACGATCCACCATACATCAATGTTCCCTTCAGAAAACTGCTCCACATTGCTGGGAAAGAAGGAGACGTTTTTAGCCACCAGCAGGGCGAGATGGGCAGCCGTTGTCACTCGAACTGTGCCTAGGGGGAAAAAAGATTCAGGTTAAGCAGAGACGAACCCTCAGATTTGTTTTACCGCCTATGAGCTAGGAAAGCAAGGATAATATTCTTTTACATTTCTGTGAGGAATGTGTCCTGTTTACATAGTAGGTGATGCCTCCTTAAGTAACAAAAATCATTGAGAAACGTGTGAATAACTAGTAATCAGATTGAGAAGCATAGGTTAGGTTACCAGATAAATTCTGAGTACTCCATATCTAAGGGGGCATCCAACTTGGGGAGGTTTTGATGCTGAAGGACACCCCTCCAAATCCTGTGAGGGCACCAATACCAAACAACAATTGTGGAGACAATGCCTAGCTGGACACCTGAATATAAATCAAAGCTGGGAAGGGCAGGTAGAACCAGGCTACTGCTGATGAGATGTTTGGGTGGCCTTGTAAGGCCATGTTTCAACAATGGCACAGTCTCTAGGCCAGACAGGGAGGTCGGGGGAAGGGATTTTTGTTGTTTTGGGTTTTGGGGATAGGGTCTCTCAGTATGTGGTCCAGGCAAGCCTCAAACTTGCAATCCTCAGCTTCCCAAGTACTGAGATATAGATGTGTAACACAATCCTGGCTAGGGTGATGGGGATTTGCTTCTACCCATAGAACACGAAAATTTTTTTTTTTTTTTTTTTTTTACCAATAAACGTCTTCCAAGCACGCGCATCTTCACTTTGACGCCAGCCATTAGGCCAACCCATCACTACGGTGTTGTGCTTCATGCCCCCGAGGCCACAAGACTGGATGAGGTGGGAAATGCCCTCCCTCAGCTTGGCGGCCACCACCAGCTGGCAGAATCCTTTTATCTTCTCTGCCTCCATTAGGTGCTTAATGGTCTGAAAGAGAGACAATCATCAATGAGCAGCTTCACATGGACCTCTTAACTCTATTCTTTCTCCACATTCTCCTCTTCCAAAGAAAAGTCCAGAAGTTGAGACTGTTCCAGGGACATGCTACCTTCTTTTGTCTTGGTCACTTTCTAAGTGCTTATTCACATTTCTACCTACACAGCTGCTGTCTGCATGTGGTCTCCCTGCCCTTTCCTCTCTCCTGCTTTTCTTCCTTTGTAACATACCAAAAAAATCAAGAATAAGTGTCCCCGCCCAGTGAATGTTGGACAGTTTCTTAATTGACCAAGGTGAGTCACTAGGGTAACTTCCTCCCCAGCCCTGCCATGCCCTGACTTACCCTCTGGAAATTCAATCTGATGATTCAGTTGCTCTTTAAAATTTCTTCAGGTAACATTTCCTTTATGCATCAACCATTCTTAAATCACTTCTGACATTTTAATGGTGATTACTAATGATACCTGTGTTTGATTTACTATTTTATCTAGTCAAGCTAATTTAGAGATGGTATCTCACTCACTTACTTTACCGTCTTGTGGAAAATGGATAGCTTCTTCCTAAGACAATGATCAATGGTGTGGCTAGGGTAAGAACTGTGATGGGGGAGGAGGGAAAAACCTGATTTGCAACCTTGCGTTCCTTACATCACTCTAGACTAATGTTTCTCAGCACTTCTAGTTTTTAGGGTTTCAAAAGATTCTGTGTGAAATCTAGTAAAGTTTCTGGAATGCAGCTGAAAATGTCTCCAAACAACAGGATTATTTTTATCATTTATGATGAAGATTAGATTAAAAACTACTTTTCAGGTGGTGCCTTATACTCAGCACAGCCAATCAGAAATGGCAAACCAATGTTGCTCAGGCTGTCACATAACTTAGCAAAGAGGAAGAAAGGTTGATTCTTGCCACTTGCTGTCACAAGATTCAGGAACCATCCCCATAGCTGAAAGGATAGATTATTTACATGACCTTGATCAGTGCTCAGGTCAATGTTTGGAGTCTATCTGGAAATGCTTAGCTATGAAAAAACCTTACAGGTTATGCTTTAAACAAGAAGAAAAAATAAGTGGCTATTTTCTGGCTCCTATTATTATTTTGGAAAATATGTTCAAAAGTTAGTCTGAGCAGGTGTGGTGGTACACGCATATAATCCCAGCATGTGGGAGGCTAATCTAGGCTACACAGTGAGACCCTGTCTCAAAAAAAATATCTTGACTCTTACCTGTTCAGCAGCTAACGCTTCTCCATAGTTCTCTAGGAAGTTCCCCACGATGACAGAGCCCACTATTGTGAGACCCTTCCCTGCTTTGAGCTGCGAGGCAAAGGTGAGGAGGCGAGGGTGCTTGACATGTAAGTCTTCATCCAGCTTCAGTAACACAAGCAGCTGAGGCCTGTGAAGAGGTTGAGGGTGTGGAGGGGAGAAAACACTTTGGACTTGGGAACAGAATGACAACTCATCCTTTAATTCAGGAAAGCTATATAAAATACATAATTTGACAGAAGACCAGAGGAATGGCAGGATGAAGGTACTGCATTATTATCCGAAATTGGTCAGTGTTCAAGGAAGAACAGGACATGAGCTACATGAAAAGGCAGCAAGGATGGGGGCAGCTTGAAATGGGTCCACTGACTCACATGATCCCCCATTCGGTAATCAACAAAGCACATTCCTGCGTTAACTGTGGGCCACACACTCTGGGCAATGCTGATTCCTTTACCTCCAGTTTTTGGTGTGTGGAGGGCCTTCTTCCAGCCGAAGCAAAGCAAACCGGGCAGCACTGAGGGACAGCCCACGGATACCGTCACCCCATTCCTTCTCAGCCCTGGGGACAAGGGGAGGAGCAGAGGCAGATCTAAGCTATAGTTAAGTACACTTTCAAAGAAGAAAGTCATTTTTCTGAGTCTAAAAGTAACATGCTGAGTGGGAAGATCAAAATCCTATTAATGTTTTCACACTGCTCTTTACTAGGCCGATGAGCCCACTGCGAGACAGTGGAGGCCACCCTGCTCAAATGCTTCAGAGTAAGGCATGGCCCTGTTCATTTACCCAATGTACAATGGCAGTTTGGATTAGGAAATTACTACAGATATAGTAAATAGTGGATAGAATACAACTCAACATCATCTTCTGAACGAGGATGTTATTTATTCCTCATTTTGCTAGTTGTTACAAAGTTGTTCAAGACTAGTTTAACTTTCATTTCAGAGACATCCCTTTGACTTTTAGTCAAAATCTTTTTAGATTAGAAAGGGATTTATTTGTGTTATACTTTGTTCAAAACTGGTCCCTGTTGTTTGGACAGGTCCTTTTGGTTATTTTCTCTTGATATATTCATACTTTCTCAACAGGATCACCCTGTAGAGAAAAGCTCCTACCTATCTAGAGGGTGGTCAAGGGAATCAGGGATGGGCAAATGCAGTTACCTGGGATCTTGGTGCAATTTTCACTGAGCTGGCTCTAGCCATGTTAGCCATTCTCTCTCTCTCTCTCTCTCTCTATAATATATATATATAGATATAGATATAGATATAGATATACACATATATATATATATATATATATTTTGGAGACAGGGTCTCTCTCTGTACCACCTGGCCTCAAACTCATGATGCAACTGTTTCAGCCTCCTGAGTGCTAGTATTACAGGTGCAACCCACCCCAGCTTGCCAAACCAGCCATTCTTGACACTCTTAGCAGTGGTCAAGATGAAATCCATACTTACCCTTGGTACTCAATGTACTTGTAGATCATACCAGCTATTACCATAGCCACGATGGCATAATACCAGGAAGAAATGAACATCAGAGCCAGACAGATACTCATTCCCATGAAAGAGAGGGCCCTAGAAATTAAAAACAGACATGTAAACAAAAGGGTGGATTTCTAAGTGGAAAGGAAAGAAGCCTGTGCTAGGGGTGCTTTCCAAACTATTTTTCTAAATTTACAATCCATTAGACAAAATATTTGTAAGATTTAATAAAAATTAATTATTAGAAAAACTATCACGTGGCTTGATGCTGTGGCAATGTTTTTGTTTGTCCTTATTTCTTGTGATACTGGGGCTCAAATCCAGGGCATGCACATGCTAGGCAAGCATTCTACTCCTGAGCTACACCCCCATTCCACAAGGCAATGTTGAATCGCTATTATGATTTCTAAATGTTTATGCTCAGTTTCTATGGTCATCTTATTATGGACTGGCAGCAGTCAGTAACACATCTGTGCCGAGCCCCAAACACCATCTAATACAGGATGCTTCCCATTGCTGTAGAAACATAAGTGAACATGGCTGCTACAAAGTCACCTGTAGCTATGAGCATGAATACTTATTAGGAAAGTAAGGATTGAGTCATAAACGTTAACAGCTATGATGTTTTTCATGTAAATATTCCTAAAATTTATGAACATTTAATTATCATACTGTGGCACACACTGAGGAAAATTTGCTATTAGTTTTCTTACAGTGCATAGGAGAAACTGGTACACAGTACCGAAGTGCTTGTTTTCATCAAATAAATGAAGTAGACAACTACATTTACTGAATTCCTTCTGTGTACAGAATGAACCTTCTAGGTCTGTGTTGAATTTTGAAGTGTGAATTTGGAGAAGATTAAGATCTCATAAATAATAAACAGAAAGAGAAAAAAATAATAGAAGCAAAATAGCAACACAGACATGTTCATCATGAATTTTTAACTAAAGTTAAGGAAAGAGGATCAGAGGTGTTAAAATCATTTGAATATGTAGGTTACAGCCAGATAAAAGCCATGTCACTGTTTACCATTGGTTAAGTGAAGTCAGAAAGGATGAAGGAACATTAGCAAGTGGAAAATATAGGACACAGCAGAAGAACTCAGCTTACAAAGGAGAAGAGATGGGAAGGAGGTGGGATGGACGTCAGAGAGCCAGGATGGCTCCCTCAGGACCAGAGGCTGCACCACAGCTGCACCAGCAGCAGCCTTGCATTGAGGGCTCACTCTGTACCATGCACTGTAGTAATAAAAACTTAGAGGTACTGGCCCCCTTCAAAAAGGAGCACAATGAAATTTTACATGGTGCTGTGCAGTGCTACAGGTTACAAAGCTAGAAGCAGTTGAGGTGAGATATAAACTTGGATCACCAGACTTCATAGTCCACGTTCTTAAGTACTAAATGAAATTCTCCTAAGGAAGACAGTGTGAGAATGAAAACTGATAATATATGAATGTGAAGATAAAAATGATGAAATCTAGTGCTCAGCTAAGAGGGAAATGAGAAAGAAGATCTGCAAAGGGAAGGTTGGCTACTTTAACATGCAGAATGAAGTAGCCTGGAAGAATTTATTTTACAGTTCTGACCTTTATTCTTAGTAGGTACTGTAAATTATACTGATGGAAAAAAGCTGGAGTAGGAAGGTAGGGATTCAGGTGACAATTGAACACTGAAATAATATGGAATGACTGGCCGGAGAAAAAAATTGTTTCAAGAATCTCCTAGTTTTCTAGTTCAAAGACGGGGAGGTAGAGGAGGAAAAGGGCAGACTTACCAGTGGTAGTAGCGGAATCTGGGTCTCCAGTTGGGTGTTCGAAGTAATGTTTGCAAGGCACATGCCAAATTCACAAAGAGGTAACACATGAGGAAAAACCTGAAAGAATATGGAGGAGAGCAGTAATGATTCTTACTGGAAGATGGCTGCTTGAGGTCATTTTAAGTAGATGGGGGGCATGTACTGTGCTGAAGAGTACAGATGGCTAAGCCTTGATTAGTAAAGAAACCTAACCCTTCTCCTTTGCTCTCAGCCACGGGCCGACCAGTCCTCACCCAACTGCTCATTCACCCCTGTTCAAATTCACTTATGTTCAAATTCACTATGGATTATTCCTACTTAAACATCTCCAACCATTTCTGTTCCTTTACATCTCTGCTACTGCCCTCCCATGTTCAGCTCTCATTTCTTCTTTCCCGTGAGCATTTCCAGCTCAATGTATCCTTCTTCTAGCCCATTTTTTATGTCGATATCTTTATTTTTTTCTTTATTGTTGAATGCCCGTGCCTTTGTGACCTGGCTCTACATCTCTAGTCAAATAGCATCATCCACTATAGCTATGTTACTCTCCATGTGCTATGTTACTTCATTCCCCAGTTCCTTTATACACATTCTCAACCTGGAACATTCTTTCTCTGCCCTTCTTTGCTAAGCAAATTAACCAGTCATTTTTCAAGGTATATGTCACTTCCTACTGAGTCATGGTTTGCTCAGATGCTGAGTGTCAGTGCTTCCGTGGCACCCAGTGCTCACCTTTACCACCTCTGCTCCTCACATTATGTAGAGTCTTTGGTTTCCTCGTCTGTCACCGTTCTTTAACTGTGCCTTATCCTTCTTTGTACTCCCAGCATGTTACACAGTGTTACAGAGGTAATAAGTCATCAATAAATCATAGGTAAATGAATAAAAGCTAACTGTAGTAGTGAAAGCTACAACCAATTGACAATGAATCAGAAACGAAGACAAAGCTGGAGGTGTAGCTCAACCATAGAGTGCTTGCCTAGTATGGGCAATGCTGTGGATTCAATTCCCAGCACCAGGGGGAAAAAAAAAAGAAGAAAAAAAATCATACTAATTTATAAAAGTTAGCCTTCCATGAAAGTTGCCAGGAATACTTAACTGAATTTGAACCAGTGTTTAGCCCCCACTCTGTCATTATCAGTATTGTTATGTGACTAAGAGAAATTGTGTCACGTATCATTTAAGCAAAATAATCCAAGAGAGTAACTGGCTCTTACATAGAAAGAATTGGGCCACGAGATCCAAAGAGGAGGTGTAGCTCAACCATAGAGTGCTTGCCTAGTATGGGCAATGCTGTGGATTCAATTCCCAGCACCAGGGGGAAAAAAAAAAGAAGAAAAAAAATCATACTAATTTATAAAAGTTAGCCTTCCATGAAAGTTGCCAGGAATACTTAACTGAATTTGAACCAGTGTTTAGCCCCCACTCTGTCATTATCAGTATTGTTATGTGACTAAGAGAAATTGTGTCACGTATCATTTAAGCAAAATAATCCAAGAGAGTAACTGGCTCTTACATAGAAAGAATTGGGGCCACGAGATCCAAAGAGGCGATGAGGATTCCCAGCTCTGCAATGGCAGCAGTTAGCAGCAAAGCCCAAGTAGGCTCCCCGTTGGCTTTGCTGTGACCAAATACCTACAAAGAGGGGAAAATATCAAGCATAGGTATACCAAGTTCTTTTAGCCTACAGTTTCATACATCTGAAAAATAATAGTATTAGCTGGGCACTGGTGGCTCACGCCTGTAATCCTAGCTACTCAGGAGGCAGAGATAAGGAGGATCGCGGTTTGAAGCCAGCCCAGGCAAATAGTTCACGAGACCCTATCTCAGAGGAAACCCATTACAAAAAAGGCTGGTGGAGTGGCTCAAGGTGAAGGCCCTGAGTTTCAAGCCCCAGTACAGCAAAAAAAAAAAAAAAAAAGTATTACAAGAGTCATCTTTTAAACACTTTTGCAGTTATCATAAACTCATCCTGGGATTTAGAGGGTCTTGTATTAAAACCCCACGTCTGTGATGTACTTATTCCTAAGCCTACAAAGACTACATTTCCCATAAGTCCTGAGAAAAAAGAAGAGGGCATAGGAAAGAGTCACTCACCCTCAGAAATGGTATGATGTTATCCTTGGCAATAGCCTGTAGCAGCCTTGGTGCACCTGTGAGGCTCTGGAGTCCAGCCCCACACGTTGAAAAAAAAGAGCCAATAACAATCACCCAAGGGGATGGCCAAGATAAGGTGCCAACCACCAAATTACCTTTCACAGCGTCCCCAAATCTGGAAAAGAAATCAACAGGGGGAAATTTAATCTGGAAATAACTTTAGATTGAAAGACTAGGGAGACACTCACCCAACCCTTTCTGTAAAAATTCTGTAAATACCACGAACAGAAATTTATAATTTTTACAGAATCAAAATCAAGATAGAAAAAGGGCTGTGGACATTCCTCAAGTGGCATAGCACCTGCCTAGCAAGCATGAGACCCTGAGTCCCAACCCCAGTACTGCAAAATTAAGATAGACGTAAAAATTAAGAAATGTAAAGGTAGATAGTTTTGATCAAAAGTGTGAAAACACACTTATGAGCTAGCTGTGGTGGCACATATCTGTAATCTAGTACTGGAGGCTGAGGTAGGAGGACTGTGAGTCTGAGGCCAGTCTGGGATACATAACAAGACCCTGTTGGAAAGAAAAGAAAAGCAAAAAAAAAAAAAGATCACTGAGAACCAGGGATATAGCTCAGTGGTAAAGTACTTGCCCGGCATGTATAAGGCTCTTGGTTCAACTCCCAGCACCACAGAAAAGGGAAGGGAGAGGGGAAGGGAAAAGAAAAAAGTAGGTGCTGATGACCTACTTTAAGAAAGTTATTAAGAAAAAAATAACTTACAGGGCCAGAAAATAACCTTAGCTTATGGCTCTTTCCTTCAGACTTTCAAAATATCTGCTTTTGTGGAAAAATGGAAAAGTTTGAAGAATACAAAAAGTGGGGGGAGGTCCAAAATCTAAACATTGTGCAGACTTTGTATATTTTAGTCTATCTGTCTGTCTATCTGCCAGTCTATCTATCTATCAGTCTATCTCAGAAGGTCTTGGTATGTAGTCCAGGCAGGCCTTGAACTTGCAATCCTCGTGCCTCAACCTCTGAATCTGGGATTAAGCTGTGCACCACCATTCCTGGCTTGTTTTTTTTTTTTTTTTTGGTGGTATTGGGTTTGAACTAAGGGTCTCACGCTTGCTAGGCAGGTTGATCTTGTTTTCTGTTTTTTTTTTTTGCGGGGGGGCGGTACTTGGGTTTAAACACAGGGCTTCACACTTGCTAGGAAGGTGGTCTACCACTTCAGCTTGTTATATTTTCAAAAACATCTTAGATCAGATCTTAATTATGCACCTAATTGTTTTTTTTTTCTTTTTTTGCTGTCCTTCTGTTTTGAACTCAGGACCTCCAGCCCTAATTCCATATTTTTAAGCAATGCATGACAACCCATGAATAAAAAGTTAGTGCTGTCCATTCTTTGGTCACAGTTTGTGCTCATGCACACACCCACTGCCTCAACAGATTGTTTTCCTTGTGGCAGATTCCTAACAGGGAGTAACTAAGAAAAAAGATCAAAAGATTAAAATATTTCCAGCAGTTCTTAGTGCACAGGGAAGTACTTTTTTTTTTTCAGACACAGTCACTGCTTTTTTGAACAGCTACATTTATTGATACCTACACGTTTATAACAATTTGTCTACTAAACTGTCAAGAAATCTATGAAGTATTTCCTTTTCCCCTTACTGCTGTGGATCAAACTCCGGGTCTGGCATGTGGTAGGAAAGCACACCCCAGCCACTGGCCTAACACCTATTTTCTAATTGTTAGTCATTATTGACATCTTGCTTGGGTTTCTGAGAGTATAATGTCTTGGAGCTGTGCTGGATGTCATGGAAGATAGACATGACTATTACAGAGAAATAACTACTCACTTGTCTCTGAGAACAACCCCTTCAATACAGGCACCAAAAAGGACAACATTGCTTAAATCTGTCATCCTGTGAGTCAAGGAAGCTATTACCCCTGAACTAACATCAGACACAAAGTACCCACTCAGGACAGGTCTCCTATCAGTAAATGGATTGCTACATTCACTAGTCCTATATAATCATTCTCAAATTATGTAGATGAGGTAGGCAGATTATCTGGCAAGAAGTGAGGTGGTACAAAGAGACATCTTTATGACTAGGATAAAAACTCCGATTATCCTAGTTGTACAGGAAGTTCCTATGACCAAGATTCAGACTGGCCCTGGAAAGGATACAGACAAAGGACGTGGTCAGGATAGCAAGGATGGTTCCAATGGGGATGGACTTCTGAGCATCTTTCAGGTCTCCAGATCTGTTTGATCCAGCCATGATACCTTCAGAGAGGGGAAAACAAGTCAACTTCTTGAGTTCCTGGACACTTTGATATCCATACAGATATGAAAACTAGAGACAAATCTGAGTCCTGAGAATAGGATTCTGTCCCCTGAGGAAAATCAGTGTCTTGGCTGAGTGCTCACCTGTGACAGAGGGAAAGAAGATCCCCACCAGGAGAGTAAAGGAGGTGGTGATGTCAACAAGGACGTATTCATGGTTCAAGCTGCCCAGGACATCGGATGATTTGGCTGAGAGCTTCTCAATGATTTCCCCCTTGGGTAGATAATTACTCCACAAGTTTTCTGCAGTGAGAAAAAATGAGAATATCAGCAACAGCAATGTGAAAACAATGCAATTACATGGCTTCCTACCTAAACATCACCCCAAACCAGATACTTCGTTTATATAGTCTTTGAAACATTCTGGTTTTTATTTTTTTGAGGTGTGGGAGATCAAGCCCAGAGCCTTGTACATGCTAGGCAAGGGCTATACCACTTAGCCATACCACCCAGTCCCTTACAAAAGTTTTTAAAGGGTTTCTACTTCTTCTGCCAAGTGTGTGCACATGAACACACTGTACAATAAAACACACACGAATAAAACATAATGCCCTTTCTCACTTACTTCAAATATAATTTGACAGAATGCTATAGTGCAGCAGTTGCAGATTAGTAAAAGCTCAGCAGACTGCAACGGAGTGCTTCACAAAGCCCGTTACTACTTTTGTTACTTATCAGTAGTCTCTAAAACCTTAGTGTGAACTTGCTTAGTGTGCAAGGAAATGTGTGGACCCAACACTTAAGACAGATGTCACTTAGGCAAGGAGCTTCAGAAATCCACATGTGTAGATGTGGTGACATTTAAAGGACTATTTTAGCAAGAACACTGGCAATTTTTCAAGAATACACAAAGCCAGGTGTGGTGACACATGCCTGTGGTCCCAGCTACCTAGGAAGCTGAAGGAGGAGGATTGCTTGAGCCCAGGAGTTTGAGGCCAACTGAGCAACACCATAAGACCCTGCCTTAAAAAATGATACCCAGAATATTTTATCTTATCCTAGATTAAAAAGTGACTTGCTTAGCTGAGTGTTGGTGGCTCCTATCTCTAATCCTAGCTACTTCAGAGGCTCAGACTAGGAGGATTGAGGTTTGAGGCCAGCCCAGGGCAAACAGTTCATGAGACCCCCATCTCCAAAATAACTGGAGCAAAATGGATTGGAGATGTGGCTCAAGTAATAGAGTGCCTGCTTTGCAAATGTGAGTTCAAACCCCAGTCCCACACATACACACACAAAAAGTGATTTACTCAGCTATCAAAAGAATGTAAATTTTAACAGATACAACTATGCAAGGGAGTCCAGAATAAGGATAGGTTCACCAATAGCAAAGGTGAAATATGCCAGGCGTGGTGGCACACACACACCTACAATATCCCAGCACTCAGGAGGCTAAGGCAGGAGAACTGTGAGTTTAAGGCCAGTTTGAAATCCTGTCTCCAAAAAAAAAAGGAAAAGAAAGCAGAGCTATATTGAATTAAGAGCTGTGTGGTGTGTTAAGATTTCACCTCACCCCTGTTAGAATGGCTACCATCAATAACACAAACAACAGCTGGGCACCAGTGACTTACACCTGTAATCCTAGCTACTCAGGAGGCAGAGATTAGGAGAACTGTGGTTCAAAGCCAGCATAGGCAAATAGTTCTGTGAAAACCTATCTCAAAAAAACCCTTCACAAAAGAGAGAGAGAGAGAGAGAAAAAAAAAAGGGGGGGCCTGGTGGAGTGGCTCAAGGTGTAGGCCCTGACTTCAAGCCCCAGTACACAAAAGAAAGGAAGAAAATAAAAAAGAACACAAACAACAAATGTTGGTACAGATGTGGGGAAAAAAGAACCTTCCATATGCTGCTCGTGGGAATGTATATCAGGTGCAAAATCTATGGAAAACATTATGGGGGCTCCTCAGAAAAACTAAAAATAGAACTGCCATATGATTCAGCAATTCCGCTCCTGGAATATATCCAAAGGAATGTAAGTCAGGTTACAACAAAAGCACCTGCACACCCATGTTTACTGCAGCACTATTCACAATAGCTAAGCTGTGGAAACAGCCAAGATGCCCCACTACTGATGAATGAATTAAGAAAATGTGGTATTTATACACAATGGAATTTTATTCAGCCACAAAGAAGAATAAAGTTTTGTGGTTGTTTTATGGATGGAACTGGAGAACATCATCTTAAGTGAAGTGAGCCAGGTGTAGAAGGCCAAAAGTCACATGTTTTCTCTCATATGTAGAATACAGACCTAATACAAATGCAGTAATATCATGAAAAACAGGTCACACTAAGGAGAAGTCACATATGAGAGAGTAAAAGAAGGAAGTGAAGAAGGTGAATATGGCTGATGTACTTTCTATACAAGAATGAATATAAGATTTTTAAGCCTGTTGAAACCACCATAAGAAAGGGACTAAAGTACAAAGAAGAAAAATAGAGATGAACCAAATCGGGCTATAATATATATAAACATGGAAAAGCCATAAGGAAACTCCCTGTGTAGCTATCTTAAACAACTAAAAATGTAATTTTTATTATTCTTCTTTTCCTACACAAAACTGGAAAAAGAAGGGTGGAACAGGTCCTGCCTGGGACAGGAGGGGGGTCGGTACCAGTGGGAGTGGGGGATGAAGGAGAATGATAGAGGGGTGAATTCAAGTAAGATATATTTGATATATTGTAAGAACTTTTGCAAATGCTACAATGTACCCCCACTCAGCACAATAATAATAATACAAAGAGCTGTGTGGTGAGCTTAAGGAAGGAAGTGGCACCATAGCAGCACCTCTCCAAAGACAACAGAAGAGTCTCAGGTGGTGGACTTGGGGGGGCAGGGTGAGGAGGGTGCAGCTCAGTGGTAGGGTGCTTGCCTGGCATGTACAAGTCCTGGGTTCTGTCCCCAGCACAGGGGAGGGGGAAGGGTTGAAGTTGAGAAAGCCTCTTTTCCTCCGAGAACAATAAAATACACGTATAATAATTCCTAACTTACCTGTAATGATACCACTGGCCAACCCAGGAATGCCCTGGATTGAAGTGACATTGTTGTGAACAAAGTATTCATCACAGGTAGCATTGAAAAACTGACTTGAGTTGCAGAAGAAGCCCCATAACTTTGATGGTATTGTCATGTTGTTAATTTCCTTGGTTTTAGAGCAAACATCAATGTGTCTTGATGAAAGGGTGCGGTTACCTAGCATGCAGACCCTAAATGAAAACAAACAGGGAAAGGGAGAAAGATCAAGGGGAAAAAAGGAAATAAGTTAGTAAAGAAAATAAATCTCATCTCCAAGAGCTTCTCTTGTCACACATAGGTGGAAAGAGACTAATATTTATGGACTAGCACGGTGAATGATGACTTATATTTCTGCCAGTTTAATCCTCACAGTGGTTTCACAATGACTTAGTATTTCTCTTCTGTGGATGGAGGAACTGAAGTTTAGAGATACAATGTGCTGCCCAAGGTCATGCAGGCGGCAGGGGGCAGTAATAGAACTGAAACACCAGAACTGCTGGAAGACACTATGCTGACTCATCTCAGCCTGTGAATCAACAGTTAAGATCAAGAAGAATTTGAAAGTCCTTTTGTTCTTCTATTTAAAAACTGCACCCCCCTGCCTTTCTAGGCCCAAACCAAAAAAAAAAACCAAACCCAAAAAAACAGCTTTGCATTTATAACACCTCCTGGGAAATGTTATGCTAAACCTTCTGCTACCATTGCGAGGAAGCTAGAATTAAAAAGCACATCCCTTTATGGCCTCAGAGAAAACTGGTTTTGGACCTAAGCCTAGACCCAGTGGGAGTGAGGATATTTAAGGATAATACAAATATGAACTGCAGATTTTATTTTTTTTCTACCCAGTGACATAAATATTAACAAACAAATAACACACACATAGTTAAAATACCTCTTAGGTAGAACAAAGCAACTTTTGAATTCTGTAAAACGAGTACATACAAATGAACCATGGACTTATTACTCAGCTTCCAGTTCTCAACAGTCCCTGCTTTTGTTTCATGTAGTTCTCTAGGTTTTTTTTGTCTTGTTTTGCTGGAATAGTTTAAAGAAAATACCATGCATTATGACCTTTTCCTAGCCAAAAAAGAAGAGGAGAAAACCCAGGGGAGAAGCTGAGGCAAAATGGAATTTCCCAAGTGTAGTTATAGCCACAGTGTTTCCTCTAGAACTATCTATGGCCCCTACGTAAGCAGACCACAAAGTTAGGATAGAACCTACTACTGACATCATACAGCACGACAAAGAAACACTGGCAGGAGTCAGGAAATTGAAAAGTTCACACTCCTGCTCTGCCACTAATTAGCTTTGGGGCAAGTCAGGAAGCCTCACTAGACCTGTGTCATTCATCATGAAAATATCTATTTTTCTGTAATCTGGGTAAATCACCATAGGACTGATGGGTTAGATCACCAGATAATACAGATGACTTTCGAAAGACAATCTCTATGACAAGATTGCAGCCCCCATGCCATGACTCAAAGGGAAAACAGGTGAGCTAAGAGTAACAGATACCACGAATCCATTATTCAAAAAAATATTTTAAGGTACTCATACTACTTATGGCATATATCTCTATATAGATGCACACAAATGATGTAACATTTACTTCCCTTTTTTATGACTAGAAATTCTTAGTATTTATGATACTAAGAATAAAATTTTAACAAAACAGTTTAGGGGCCTGGCTCAAGCGGTAGACTGCCTGCTTTGCAAGTGAGAATTCCTGAGTTTCAGCCTCAGTACCACAAAAAAAAAAAAGCAAGAAAGAATTTAGGATTCTTTTGACTCCACTGAGTTTTTACTTCACTGATTTTTTTTTTTTTTTTTGTAATTAAGAATCCAACATGTAAATGCCTTACAAAAGATGCTGGTCATAGTAATGGCTATACTGTTTGTAAAGTCCTCCACGAATAGTTCAATCATTATCAAGGGGAAAACACCTAACATCTGTATCTGGAGAATGGCTACTGCTGCTAGTTCTATGCCTGGAATGTAAGAAACAGGGTCAACAGGACAGTTTGTTGGAGCCTTCCTGCCATACAAGTGGGCCAGCAAGGAAATCTCAGAGACTCTGTGAAATTCTGACAGAAATGATCACACCACTGGATGTTGCCATTGATTACTCAGTGATGATCAGACAGATACTGACACGTACGGAAAGTGTGGTGGGGCAAAAGAAGACTTGATGGCTCCTGCGTAGATGGCCAAGATGGACACGATGACACAGGCCAGGAAAAGAGAGGCAAACTTGTTCACATAGCGTACGCCAATGAATACCACCAAGACCATGAGGACCAAGAAGGCTGTGCCATAGACACGCATGTTATTTAGCATGGCAGCTGACTCCTTGAGGGCGTCCTCACTGCGAAAGATGGCAGCCCGGGGAACAATGTACACCTGTTAGGCAAAAAAAGTAGCAAATGAGGTCACTTCAAAAGCATCAAGCAGAAGGGCTGTACATGTTCACATTTGCTTTCATGAAGGAAGGTAGAGTTGAAGCAGAAAACAACCAGAGAACAAACCCAACTTCTATTTGGCCTGAGAATGTCAACAGAATTGGGATGCCATGGATTATTTTTCTAGTTGCTTTTCTGAATAACTGCATTTCCAATGGGAAAAAAGAAGAAATTAATATTCTTATTCAAAGGGATATATAAAAGAATGATTATCTATGGCCCTGCTTCTTCTATCATTACTTTAGATAGTAAAAAGATATATATCCTGGTGAGTAGAGGAATGTAAAATATACTATTTCCTTGGGATATAGACATCAAAAAGATAAATTTTATTTCACTTTGTCCTCATTCGCACAGGTCTTTCCTCTGAAGACTTTAACTTCCTTGTGGAGGCAAAAGGACAGGCAGGCAAAGGGTACCCGAGCTTTCTGCCTCAGACTCACAATAGGAGCCCAGTTACCGTGAGCTAGCAGTCTCACTGGTTCCTACAGCCGACCCCTCAGAAGCTTTGATACTGAAGAACAAAATAAACCCAAATCTATGTCTCTTTGATACTGTAGACCACAATTAAGTCATTACTCACCAGAAAAATTTCAATGGCACCAAGAATATACATGGCTGCTGCAAATGTGGTACCAAGATAAAAACAGAGGCCAACAGCTCCACCAAACTCTGGGCCCAATGCCCGGGAAATCATGAAGTATGAGCCCCCAGCTACAAGACAAAAGAAAAGGTGAACAGGATGCAGACAGCATGCCAGTAAGAGGAGTGGAAGCAAGTCAGGAATAACAATAGCAAACATATGCATGAAGGATTAATGTTTCAGGCTTCTGAAAACCCTGAATGTGATGGTAAGTAGAATTGCTAGTGGGAAGTAAAAGAAACCTTTGCTGTAGGATGTACTGCACATCTGATGCTCTGCATGAAGCAGCACATGGTGCTACTATGAGGAAAAAATTAGAATATTTATTATAAGCATAAGACAGCCTAATAAAATATATTCGAATAAGCTAAGAATGTGACTAACATTAAAGCATTGCAGTCTAGAAAATGAGATTTTAAAGACAGAATCCTAAAGCCAAATAGTACTAGTCTGGATGGCCTACACACGGTTACTCTGCTGTAGCACAAGAACAGCAGACTAAACACTGTTCTGTTCCTTGGATGTTTGGACCTCTGCCTTCAGAGCACAGCATACAGAACCATCAATAATCCCTGAAGTCCAGGGTTGGCCCACTGACCTGGCACCACTCCGTTGGTGGCAATGGCACTCATGGAGATGGCAGTCAGCATTGTCTGTGAATAAAGAGAAGCAGAAATGTTGTTACTGGGTAAAAGTGACATTCTGTATACTCTCCCATCTGTGGCCCGCAGAGTACTTATTAAGCATTTAACTCTACCTGCTTTTACAGAGGGAGTTGCTGTCATGCCTAATGGTATGGAAACATGATGATGAGAAGATGGGGTCACACTGTTGCACTAGTGCTACTATTAGCAGAAATATACCAACAAAATGGCCCAACCATGGTAATCAGCAGATCAGGTGCTGCCATTAAGAACCACTGATGGCTAGGAGTGGTGGCCATGTCTGTAAGCCTAGTAGTCGGGAGATTGAGGAAGGAGGATTGTGAGTTTGAGGCCAAAACATAGCAAGACCCTGACTCAAGCAGGACAGAACAAAACAGAACCATTGATATCAATCTGGATCTCCTAGTTAAAAAACAGAAAATGAAGTATAACATACTCAATAGGAATAGTAGGGAAGCAACTTGGAAAACAGGATAGAACCTGACTGAAGACTGGCTGCAATAACAAGAACAATGTTCAGTAACAAAGAGAAGCACTGTGCTTTTAAAAAACGTTAACTAGTAGCACAGTACAGAATGGATGTCATTAGGGAGTAGCTGGAGGCAGGATGACAGTTAGTAGCCTACTATAGCAGCTTCTGAGAGGCAAAAACCACAGTGGTGATTGTGGGAATAAAAAGGAAGGGTTGAATCTACAAGATTTCGGGAATGGATTGGCTTTGGTAGCTGCCTAGATAGGAGGCAAACAAGGATCTTGTTTGCCTGAAGTTTTGAGCCTGAGAAACTGAAAAGAAAGCATTAAGAACTATTAAGTTATTAATGATATGGACTCTTGTCTACTTAACCTGCTTTGCATAGTACTCAGCTGAGCACAGGGAAGGTGTAACAGTGATAAAAATAAAAAGAGGATGCTAGAATCCGACAATATAATTGATGGATGTTGCTGGGATACATAAAAACCAGGAGTTCTCAGTGTAGGGGAGGGAAGAGCTGGAAAGAACAATTAAGTTTCTAGAGAAGGGGTAAGGGAGGAGACCTTGACACCAAACCCAATCAAACCCAGATAGGCCTCAGACCCTCAAATAACTGTCAGCTTTGCTTCTTGATACATACTGGAGTATTGTTCCACACTTCCTAACACATTTTCTTTGGTGCTATTAGGCTCAAGTGATTTGGATTCTCAATGCTCTGAAGACTTCCATTTGAAGTCTTGTTTCGTAACAGTGAGCAGTGACACTAAATGACAATCCTTTTGATTTTATTATCAGCACCATCTCTCCTGTGGAGATTGCAAGTCTTTCCAACCATTCTCTGCTTTATTCCCAGAACATCAGTGTTGGGGCTGATTTCCAGGACTTACACAGCAGCAGCAGATGAGTACAATTGCAAAGGCCTGGAGAACTCCAGCTGTGCCTACCACCCATGTGAGGCGTAGGAAGAGGATCACACCAAAAATATTCTGTAGACATGGAAGGTAGACGCCCATAAAGGTTCCCATTTGTGGAGTCTGGAAAGAAAGATGTACACAGACGAAAAAAAATCATATAGTCATCTGTAAGATGTGCTTTTATTCTTTTGTTTTGCAGTTTGCTGTCTTAAAAAAATTTTTTTTAATATTGTGTGTAAAAACTTGCTCCCTATCATATTAATCTCAAAACAAAGATAATAAGTTAACATGATACATCAAAAGCACATGTAAATTCCTGTCTTAGAAAAGTCTATCATCACACTTTTATTCCTAGGCTATGCAGTGTCCCACATGTTTTTTATACAAAAGCATTTGGACACACATAAACTTTTAAGTGCATTCCCAATAACTTGAAACTTTCTGTTCCTCTAGGCTGTCAGGTCTCTTTTGGTTTAAAATGGAAACCCTTCAGTCAAGTATCAGATTATTGCATAGTTGGTAAATGAAGTATGGAGAAATAAAGACCCAAAGGCCATTCTGTCCCCATTCTAAGAGCTGACCTGGAATATTTATTATGCATTTTGTCTCTTATTTCCATTATAAGAAAAACTGGCTTAGTCTTTAAAAAACCCAGTAACTGCTAGGCATGGAGGCACACATCTTTTTTTTTTTGATATATATGTATCTGTTTTTTTTTTCTTTTATTCATATGTGCATACAATGTTTGGGTCATTTCTCCCCTCTTCCCCCCACCCACTCCCTGACCCCCTACCCTCTCCTTCTCCCTCTCACCCCCTCGCTACCAGGCAGAAACTATTTTGCCCTTATCTCTAATTTTGTTGAAGAGAGAGTATAAGCAGTAATAGGAAGGACCAAGGGTTTTTGCTAGTTGTGATAAGGATAGCTATACAGGGAGTTTACTCACACTGATTTCCTGTGCATGTGTGTTACCTACTAAATTAACTGTTCTCGAACTAACCTTTTCTCTAGTTCCTGGTCCCCTTCTCCTATTGGCCTAAGTTGCTTTAAAGTATCTGCTTTAGTTTCTCTGCATTGAGGGCAACAAATGCTATCTAGTTTTTTTGGGTGTCTTACCTATTGTCATACCTCCCTTGTGTGCTCTCGCCTCATCATGTGATCAAAGTCCTATCCCCTTGTTGTGTTTGCCCTTGATCTAATGTCCGCATACGAGGGAGAACATATGATTTTTGGTCTTTTGGGCCAGGCTAAGAAGGCACACATCTGTAATCCTACCATTCAGGAGGCAGAAGGGCCATGAGTTCGAAACCAGCCTGGGCTATATTGTGAGACCCAGTCTGAAAAAAAAAAAAATCCAAACCAAACCAAACCACTCCCCCACCCCAAAAACTTCACAACAGACAGATGGCACCAGCAGATAGGTAGATACTCTCTCTTGACCTGCTGTCCTCTCTCCCTAGGATGCTGTGCTCCCACAAGGGTCACCTCTTCACAATGGTCAGGTGTCTGCTTAAACATCTACTTGTCAAGGGACTCTCCCTGCCACACCTGAAGGAGCAACAGCTCTGAAGTAACAACCCCTCCACCTGACTCCCCTGTGGTATCAGTCTTTTCAACTTTGCTTGAATTTCTGTTGAAGTATCTGTTGACACAGATACTTTAACCATTAGAACAGCTTGAGGACAGTCCCTGTCTCCCTACGTGACAGCGAGGACACTGCATCTCTGTCACTGTCCAGACAGTGCCAGCACACGCCAAGTGTCTAATTGATCTCACTCTGCTGGGGTGGTGCCCTGGATGTCCCCTCGTTTCTTGTAGGTAGGTGGGGCCATCTTCACCTTAGTGGGCTTCTTCTTCCCTTCCGTGATGTTTTCTGCCTCCTCGTGTTCTTTTGCTCCTTGTGTCAGGTTGGTGTAGTTGGCCATGCGGTTGAGGAGAGAGGACACCTTTGGTCTGGTGTCCATTTCCTCCTATAAGGCCAGAAACATGGAAGAATACTGAGAATATGCATCAAAGCAAACTTCCTACCAGAAAGCTGCAAAGTAAATGAGAACACATTTCACAGGTAAATGTTCTAAGAAAATTTATCAAGGAGACTTTTTGTGATTCAAAAGATCACACAGGGCTGGTAGAGGGCTTGCCTAGCAGGCACAGGACTCTAGGCTCAATCCCCAGCACCAAAGATCACACTTAATTAGGGTACCAGGAACCCTTACAAAATTGTATATATTCAAGCTGTAGAGTACAATGCTGTGACACAGGTATACATTATGGGGTCATTAAATTAAGCTAGTTAACATATCTACCACTCTCGATACTTTTATTTTGTGTGTGGTGAGACCAAAATCTGTTGTCTTATCAACATTCAAGTACACTAATAAGGACAGACATCATACGACAGAAAAACTTACTCTTCCTGTCTAACTAAAACTTTGTACCGTATTACTAAAATCTACTCATTAGTCCCACCTACTTCCCCACCCGAGCAACCACCATTCTGTTCTCTGCTTCTGTGAGTTCAACCTTTTCAGATTCCACATGTACATGTGATCATGTGGTTTTTGTCTTTCTATGCCTATCTTATTTTACTTAATATAATATAATGTCCTCTAGGTTCAACCACGTTTTCACAAATGTCAGGATTTCCTTCCTTTTAAAGGCTGAATAGTATTCCATCATGTCTACAGCACCACATTTTCTTTATCTGTTCATCAGCTAATGGACACTTTGGTTGACACAGATCTTGGTTCTTGTGAATAGTGCTGCAAATGAACATGGGAGTGCAGCTGTCTCTTCAACATGCAGATTAATTTTCTTTGCATATATACTCAGCAGGGGCACTGCTGGATCATGCGGAGGTTGTTTTTGTTTTTTCGTTGTTTTTCTTTGTGGTGCTGGAGAATGCACCCAGGGCCTTGCACTTGCTGGCAAGTTCTACACTCCTAATGTGCTATAACATTCTTACCAAAGCCTGACCTGCTTATGACATTCTTAGAAAGAAACTTCCACCATTCTTTTTTCTTCCACAGTACTAGGGTTTGAATTCAGGGCCTAGGGCTTGCTAGGCAGATGCTCTACCATTTGGTCACATACCCAGCCCCTTTTACTTTTAGATAGGGTCTCACACTTCTCTTCAGAGGCTGGCCTTGAACCATGATCCTCCTGATCTCTGCTACTTGAGTAGCTAGGATCACAAGTGTCAGCTCATTATTCTTTACAGTGGCTATGCACTTTATCTACAGAATTCTACAGGACACTGGTAATATGACCCTCAGCCATAATGCCTCCCCTTTTTTTGGGGGGGGGTTACTGACATTTGTGTCAATTATTTATAGGAGTGCGTGTATAAAGTGAAGGAAAACTACTGTGATTAAACTAAATATTAATGTCAGACCCTTGCTTCAAGGAAGCTGAGAGAAAAATACCTTTTTTGTTTTTTTTTTATACCAAAAAGCACACTGAGAGATGTGGCATTTGAATTATTGTCCAAAGCCAGACAAAGATGTAATAAACCAGTCTCTTTTCAAGAACTTGGCCACAGACTCCATCAGCGTATATGTTGTCTTGGTCAGATAAAGCACACAGGTCCTTTTCATCAGTAAGCTAGGTACAGAAAGATGAACACTGTGACCTCATTTCCACGTGGAGTCTAAGAGCTGAACTCTTCCAAGTAGCAAGCAGAATGGTGGCTACCAGAGGCTGGGGGAGGAGAGTGCATAGGAGATGTTACCCATCCAGCACAAAGTTTCACTTAGACAAGAGGAATAAGTTTTCAGACCTATCGTACAACCTGCCGACTACAGCTCATAATAACATGTTATGTACTTCAAAATTGTAAGTAAAACTCCAATATTCTTGCCAAAAAAAGTTCTATGAGGCAATAGGTGTTATTAGCATGACTTAATCATTCTGCAATGTATATCTAACTCAAAATACCACCTTTTGTCCCCCCAAACACATACTACTATTATTTGCCACTAAAACACATAAGACCTCTTAATGTGGTAGCCTGTTCCTATGGTAGCTTTTGTTTAGTTAGCTCTAAGGTAAATGGTAGTCTTCTCAGACAAAGAGTTGAGAAATACACTGCTTTTTACTTACATTATTCCAATGTAAACATTTAAATCGGCTAAATTAGATGGCAGTGTTCTCCATATGCCTCTTCCTTACTTCACAGAAATTTCCTTATGGATACTGTGACTAGACTATATAGACAGAGCTAACCACATGGATAAGTTACAGCAAAACTACTGCAGGTTAACACTGGTTATCTGATTATCCAGCTTGCACTACTTGAAAACCAATGGAGCAGAAGACAGCCACCTTGAAACCTCAGCTCCTGAAATCTGTCTACAGTTTTCTCCCAAATATTACCTCGAAGAGTGCCAAGTTCTTATCAAAATATTCATCTCCATCTTCATAATTGGAGTTATTGAGATAAGCATTCCGAGCTTTCTTATGCCCGTCATCTGGAAAAGAGTGAACCAAGTTAGTTTCTCACTGGCACTGAAGAAGTATCAGCATCCAGTAACTTCGTGCTGCCTTGGTACCACTAGAAGTTGTTTTCATGTTGAGATTTAACCTGAGCGTGTGGTGCTCAATCAGCATTGCCTGGAGAATGTGGTTCCCTTTCCAGCAGGAGGGAACACCAATCTCTGAGAAATAAACACGGGTCACTCCTCTTCTCAGTAAAGGCCTCTGGAGACACTGCTACTCAGGGTTCTAGCCTACAGAGGTCCTACTCTTAAAGTTACTCAAATCTAGAATGGAAAAAAATAGGATACTTGTTAAGTACCTAGTCACATCTAACCCTACTTTGCACACGGATGCTGCTGATAATGGAACAGCCCTCCATCTCCAGGGTTTCTCCACCTGTTGTCTAGGACACTAGTTAATTTAACTAGGTATTATTTTTGTACAAACCCTCCCACATTTTTTTATGTTAAAAGAGGCACCTGACAGGAATTTGATGAAGCAGCTGTAAAAAGAAAAAGAAAAGACTGAGTCCCTGAGACAGCAAAGTTCTTATTATTTAGTACTGCCTTAACTTGGGGTTTTTTTTTTTTTTTAACTGTATAGGAAGTTGTATAGTTACGTAGTCTGACAGGAAATAAGAGAAAAATAAAAAATTACATAAATGCTACTTAAACTCTAAGACTTTGACTACTGAAGAGATGCCAATACAAAATTAGAAGCAAATTAAAAATCACACATACATATATATGTCTATAATGAGCCTAGGTAAAAGCCAACAAGCTGCTGACATGCCAGGATCACCTCAAAGGACACAAGACAACCTGAAGGGATACCACGAATAAAAATAAAAATGTGATGGACTGAAATAGAGACAGGAAATATCTAAAATAATATTTTAAAACATCAGTTACCTCTGCAGGGTTCTCTTAAGGAGATGACACATAACTCTGAAAAACAATGGAAGGAAAGAATCAAGAAATTATCTGTCCTTTCTTGTGCCAACTGTACTTCAGGTTAAGAAGCTACAGAAAAGTTCTTCCTTACAGGAGCACTGCTGCCAATCTGTGCAACAGATTTTTGAAGATGAAACTTCAAAAACCCCATCAGTCTGCAACCCTAATGAAAACACAGGACCAGAAAATGGCCGCCAGTGCTTGTCAAATCACTAGGGTGGGGCTAAGGTCAAGCCTTACACATTGGGAACACAGGGACCACCCAGAGCCACTGACCAGCATTACCACCACTGACTATCAGTCAGGCCACAGAGCACCCACTGTAAGACGATGGGACCTACACCACACACCCAGGAGGTATTCCTACCGAAGAATGGAGCTGAATCTTACTGAGCTCCACACCTAACTACAGTTCAGAGAGCACAGAGTATGCACGCACTAAACAAACATCACCACAGAGATGTGATCACCAAATTCAGAATGTAGGAATTTCCACAGGATAAGCAATCTCATTTCTTTAGCAAATAAACAGCATTAAGTGATAAAGATAACTTTAGCTCAAAGACTGAGAATTAAGAGATAAATCAACAGTAAGGTATGGACTTTAGAGCCCTGACTCAAGCAACTCAAATGTAACAAGGTATTTTTGAAATAGAAGTTTGAATATATACTAGTTAGCTTTAAAGGTATAAGTAAAATCTTGGGTCTAGAAGTTTCTTTAAAATATGATGGGAAAAAATATCAGGTGAGGTCTTGAGAACAGCTTGCCATCATTAACTCGGGCGAGGGCCTCACGGAGGTTTACTATAGTACTCTGCTGCTCTGTTCCTTTGATAATTTTCATAATGAAAAGTTAGAAAAAGAAAGGAACATGTCATTTTCTGTCTCTAATGGCTCCTGAAAAGGCTGGAGAGAATGATACAGCTTAAAATAATCAGTACTTTTGAGTAATTCCTTAGTCAGTAATTCAATAAATATTTACTAAATTCCTTTACTGTGCAGGGTAGTTTTAGGTCCTGGAGACATTTTGTTGGAGAAGCACTGAGCTCAATGAAGAACACGTGACAGGTACAGGTATGGGACAGGCTGTGACTGAGGAGGAGGCCAGTTCAGATGAGACCTTAGTGTCCTCATAAGCAGGCTCTGAACTGAAAACCACCCACTGCAGCTTGTGTTTGCCAGTTTTTGTGCTATAAAGACTCATACACGCCCAATTCCAATTACATCTAAGACTACACTGAGCATGGCTCTGAGAAGAGGTGCCAGTCCTCTGGATGGTGAGGAAAAGCCTGCATTCCAGCCAGACAGCAGCAGTTTCAAAGACCTTCAGCACAAACTACCTTTGTGGGCTCATGGACAAGAAAGACAATGTGGCTGAAAGAGACTAGTAAGGAAACCAGCAAAGAGTCAGACCATGTAGTTAGCTAACACTTTGTCAACAGTCCCTCCTTTTGTAACCTTTTTTTTTTTTTCTGAGATAGGGTCTCCTTATGTTGCCCAGGTGGCCCTGAACTCCTTCACTGTTGCCTCAGCCAGCTGAGTAGCTGGGACTACAGGCGTCTACCACTGCTCTTGGCATCCCTACTCTTTTCTTCTTTTTTTATTAGCATGTATTAATTGTACAAAGAATATTCATTGTGGTATTTCCATACATGTATATAATGTACTTGGATCAAATTCACCCCAATATTATTTCTTCTTATTCTCTTCCCCCTTTAAAATACTTTTAATGGGTTTTGTTATTCTGCTGTCGTAATGTGAATGGCCTATTCTAGACAATAACATGATAGGGTGAGTGCGAGTGGGCTGCTAGCGCTCTTTTCTTTATTTGGGAGGCAGAGATGACACAGATGGCATCTTTTAAAGTAAGAAGAGGTAATACAGAAAAAGCGGGACAAACTAACATAATTTAGGACGGTACAATGGTTCAAGTACACCAGTGACATCACTAATGACAATAGTGTTAATAGACTAAATTCACCAGTAAAAACATACAGATTGACAGACTAGATTAAACACCAAAATCTAGACAGATTCTGTCTATCTGAGACACAAGATAAGAACATGTAACAGCTGAAAGTCGAGAAAAGAGATGTACAATTTGTCTTGAAAAAAAAACAGTATTAGGGACTGGAAAGAAACTACATGAGGAAAGGCTGAGTTCACCCAGAAGGTGTATCAATTTTAAATGATCATGCATTGTTTAATGACTTCTCCACTCAAGTTCTTAGTGAACATCACCTATCTTCTAGACACTGGTCCTGCTGGTTCTGTCCCTGCTTTCATTGGCTTGCTTGCCGCATTTCATTGGAAAATGGAATGATATTGGTGAAGACTTGTCTTAGGACACCAGTGATGCCTGCAGTTTTCCTGTGGTGGTGGCTTTCGTGTGAAGGGTCCTGCAGAAATCCTGGCTGATCATGACTCCTGGACAATCTCCAGAGGTCAAGGTTTTCCAGACAAGAAACCAAGCTTTCATCAGCAGTTATGTTGAAAAGCATGAAGCAGAAGTGGTTTTACTGAGGCATGCACCTTGGTTGGAAACCATGCTGCTTGGAGTACAGCCTCAAGAAGCCTCATGGCTACTGGGACTCCAGGAAATACCAGAGGAATGGAGCTTGCAGGTTTCTGAATAACAAATGCTCTTTACTCTGCATGAACCAAACCTGGATCCTAGAGCTCTTCAGGGATTATCCAGAATCCTAAAATGCCTTTGGAGAACACCTACTCAGACTGGCCTTACCAATGCTTTGAATTAAACATCCCATTGGATCACTGCCATGTTTCTTTTTTTCTCATTTTACTATCCAAACAGTGCTAGTATTATTGGGAAGCTAATCTGCATTTTATTGCATAATTTAAATGAGAGCCAACAGGAGAAGCATTGATTCTTCTGAAGACTTCATATTTTGACTTTTTTTTTTTTTTTTGTGGGACTGGGATTTTCACTCAGGGCTTCACACCTGCAAAGCAGTTGCTCTGTTGCTCTGGTTATTTTGGAGATGGGGGTTTCACATACTATTTCTCCAGGCTGGCCTTGAACAGTGATTCTCCAGATCTCAGCCTCCCAAGTAGTTAGGATACAGGGGTGAGACACCAGCACCTGGTTCGTACTTCTGTTTTTTATGGTATCCATTTTTTTTAAATTGAACTCAGGGCTCTGCACAACTCCTTCACTAAACTATGCCTTCAGTTATTACTTTTATTTGGATACAGAAAAAAAAGGAATATCAAATGTCCTGCTCCCCACCCTCTGCTCCCCACTGCCTTCTGGCAGTACTGGAGACCAAACTCAGGACTTTATGCTTGCTTGGCAAGCACTCTATTACTTGAGCCACAACACCAGTTGTTTTGCTTTCAGTTTCTTTTTCACGTAGGATCTCATACTTTTGCCCAGGCTTGGCCTCAGACCCCAATCCTTCTACTACTTCCACCCCCTAAGAGCTGGATTATAGGCATGCCCACCATGCCTGGCTTGGCTTGCTTTTTGCCTGCTCTGGTCTTGAGCCAAATCCCCCGCTCTACCCCTGAAGTGGCTGGTATGGTTTGTCTTCATAAAAACTTCATTTGTTGTTACTGTTTCTACAACATTGCTTTTTGTCAATTACCACTTACACTGTATTTGGGGCCCCCGATAAATTTGAAATTACTACTTTAGACTCCTGATCTTGTCAAAGTCATTCCTGGCCTTAAATAGGGAGAGACAGAAACAGGGCGAGGGAGAGGGAGGAGGGAGAGAGAGAGAAAGAGTACTCAATTTTCCTTGGCACACGTTCAGGTTTGAACATGAAATGTCTCAAATGCTGTTAAGTCATGTTTCTGGTTTTTATTGTTTGAATCAGTAGCCAAACATGATCTCTTGTATCTATAGTTTTCTCGTTGTTGTTTTTCCCTTGCACTTGGCTTACTGAGATCATGCCATTTTCCTGAAGAGTTTCTTGGACTACATTTTGATGATGGCATCCATGTGATGCAGCTCAGCACCTTCTGTTTATTGCAAGTCCTCTAAGTTGGCAGCTACATCTAGAATCTGAGTCACACCACACTCAGTATTTTTAGGCACGAGAATCTTTCAGCAGGAAGTATATGTCATCATCTGGTTGTCTTTCTTTTTGAGATATTAGCAACTTTTTGTGACTAATGTCTGAATACATTAATTTATGAGGGGTAAAACACGGTGGTATTCTCATTCTGTTATTTATTGTTTATGAGTTGAAGTACATTTTTTATTTTTTGATATTTGCTATGTAGCTCAGATTGTCATTGAACTCATGATCCTTCTGCCCCTCTCTCTCCAGTGTTGAGATTACAGGTGTGTACCATGACGCCTGGCTAACTGAAATAAACACACATTCCCATTAATCTACTATATGGCTACCCAGTGGAAGAGTTAAAACCAAGACAGATACTTCATTCTTTTTCTTTTTTTCTGGTGGAACTGGGGTTTGAACTCAGGGCTTCAGGCTTGCAAAGCAGGTGTCTACGGCTTGAGGCACTCCTCCAATCCATTTTGTTCTGGTTGTTTTAGAGATGGGGTCTCGAGAACTATTTGCCGGGGCTGGAACTATGATCCTTCCTATCTTAGCCTCCCAAGTAGCTAGGATTATAGGTGTGGACCACCAGTGCCTGGCTCATTCTTTCTCTTTATTGACCAGTTCTCAGGAAAATGAATTGGTTCACTAAAATACTCCAATGCCGATCAGTTAGTTTTTAAGAATATCATTATGAGCTGATGAACATTAGTATGGGATACATTTCTAATCAAATGCCTTTTCTACATCTAGTAAGATCATACTTCCCCTTCAATCTGTTAATATAGGAGGTAACATAAGTTGACTTTTTTTTGATGGTACTGGGGTTTGAACTTAGGGCTTCAGGCTTGCTAGGCAGACATTCTTCCACTTGAGCCACACCTCCAGTCCATAAACTGATTTTTGTTATTAAGTGAACCGTGTCTTTTTAGCAGAAACCCAAACTGATGATGGGGGTAATTTTATTTATTCCCTTGCTTAATTTCTGTGGTGTTGGGGATTGATCCCAGGGTCTAATGCATAGTAGACAAGTGCTCTACTGCTGAACTACACCTCCACCCCCCCCATCCATGGGGGCAATTTTGAAAAATATGCTGCATGATTTAGATTCCAAGTATTTTGTTATAGTCTTATGTATGTATTCATAAATAAGACTGGCCTATACAAAACCTTTTTCATATCCCATTGTTAAGTTTTGTTATCATGGTTAGGAAAACCTCAAACTGATTCCAATAGCGCTTAATTGGTTTTCTATGTCTTGAGAAAGATTTGAAGGTTGCCATTCTTTGAATGTTTGATAAGACTTCTTGTAGACATACTAGGACTCACTGATACTTGCTTTTCTTTCTAAAAGATTTTAACTTGAAAATACAGGGAAGAGTTCATAAATCTTAAGTATAGAACTTGTATCATTATCACAATGGTTCACTCTCCCACGCTTCCCAGCCTGACTTTGAGTTTTGCAAGAGACTGGATGAGTCAGCCGAAGCAGTAAATACAGTAAAATAACTGCCACCTGCTGACAAGCCTGGAAGATGCTATTATAAATCCAATTCAGCAGACAAGACAATTGGACCAGTTTTTCACCTACTAGGCCAACTTACTGTAAAGGAGGTTTGTTTGTTTATTTATATTTATTTATTTGTTTGTTTTTGAGATGGTGGAGATTGAACATAGGACTGTGTACATGTGAGGCAAGTGCTCACTGAACTATGCCTCCAACCCCAAAAGCTGAGATTTTAATTCAAGCTAGCAATGCCTTTTCTAAGAAACAATAAGATGGTTAAATATTGAGAGAAATAATCTTTCACTATTTCAATACAGTTTAGTAATACTAGAACTATATTAACTCCTAACTGTCCATCTCATTAGCTGAGGCCTTCTCTTAACTCATAAACTTCGAAGTATAACATCTGTGTCACAGACAGAACAACAGGTTAGGAGGGAAATGTGCTTTTCAAGGTGCAACAAAAATTTTTTTTTTTTTTTTTTGGTGGGACTGGAGTTTGAATTCAGGGCTTACAAAGCAGGCACTCTCCCACTTGAGCCACACCTCCAGCCTGTGACAAAATCTTTTAATGAAATCTTAACCATTCCTGATCTAAATATGAAATATTTACACAGAAGAGGCTGAGTTTGAGCAGTACAAATAAATATCCAATATAAAAGTATAAAAGGACTGGGGCTTACCTCATTAGTAAAACACTTGCCCAGCATGTGAGAGGCTCTGTGTTTGATCTCCAGCACCACAAAACAAAAATAAAAAAGAGAATAGCGACAGACCAAGGCTAGGACCCTGGTGACCAGATTTCCCTGCAGTTTATGTGAAATCACTCACTCAGCAAGAATTTATGGGTGCCTTGTGTGTTAGATACAGTTGTAGCACAGATACTCAAAGGAATGAGAATTAAACACTGGAGGTGTGGCTCAAGCAGTAGAGCGCCTGCCTAGCAAGAATGAGGCCCTGAGTCCTGAGTTCAAACCCCACACCACAAAAACAAAAAAAAAAACACTTGAATATCAAAGGAATGACAATTAAATCTCATTTTCTCATTAGCTCCTCACATTAACTCAAGGACTCTTCCAAGTCCTTAACATAGAGCAAAAAAGGAGCACCCTTACTTCTTTAACACCCTGAAGGTGCTGTAGACAAACAAGTCACGTCAAGTACTTTCCAACTTTGGATTTTCTGGTAATATTTTCACAGCTGCTCTGCACATTTTCATACGGTTAATATTTAACTGTATTTCAGCAGTTAATATATTTAAATGTACTTAATTTCAACCATAATTAAAGTACAGAAACTAGAACTGCCATTTTTACCTGTTGATATATACAATAACTTAAGACTAATAATATAATTCTGGTAAAACAGCCAAGCTTTCCTCTACACCCCTTACTGCTGGGGGCTTATTGCTATTATCTTTTTGAAAAACGTGTAATCCTTTGAGGAAAGAATTCTATCGTTAGGAGTTTATACTATAAATAAACTGGTATGAGACTGTAAAGGTACAAGTACACGAATCTCAATGAAACATAATTTGAACAGAACACACCTAGAAATAACCCAAATTCTCATGGAGAGAGAACTAAGTGGCATAAAACCCACTGATATAAAAAGGAAAAAGGAGGGACATATATAATATGAAGATTTGTGATTAAAAATTCCTAGAGTTCCCAAGAAACTGTCAACAGCAAGTATTTTGGAGGAGTGGAGGTGAGGTGTGGGGAGAAGATACGTCAAAGGACTATGGCTTGCTTTATCTATACCTTTGTATTGCCCGGATTCCTCACTAGAGTATGTTTAGTTTGTGTATTTTGAAATGAGCTTGTCAAAATTTTGTCAAATTATGCTTACTGCAATCTCAATAAGCAACAGCTAGCTCAGTAACTTGTTTCACAGATAAGAAACTGGAACACCAATTTCTGTGGGATAATTAATGCATGATGTTTATGAAACAGTTTCAGTAATTAAAATGATTATCAAAAGACCTAGAAAAATAATAAAAAGGGAAAAGTAGCTGTGAAGTCCAAATATTACAGAATATTATAATTCTATTCACAATTATCTTGGAAAAAAAGAAGTTGTAATCTTAGATTATGTTTCAACCATAGACTGTGTAAAATTACTTCATAGCATAACTAAAGCGAGTCTTGGTAATCAGTTACAGAAGTGGTTTCCGAAAGCTTGCCAAGCTGGAAACAGAAACATCAGGAAAGGAGCTGAGAGGTGGAAAGGAGAAAAGGAAGAGACTGAGAATAGAAGTAGAGAGGGAATAAGTAATGCCCGTTACTGTGGCAGCAAGGTGATTGTAGAGCCACATCCCCGAGTGATACCATACCTAGCAGCTGGCTGTGCTCCCCTGTGATGGAGTTCTGACTCGGGTCTGAAAAACAAACAATTGAAAAGAAAAGAAAAAAATGAATGATCAAAACAAATAAGTTATAAAAATTTAACAACAGAAGTCAACCAATGAAATAAGCTAGAAACAACAAAAAGCCCGTAAGAAACATTAATGAAAGCATAACAAGAAAACAGAATCAAGTGTGTGTTGTAAACATGTTCACATTCCTCCAAGGGTTAGATACTGAATCATTATGTGACTCACCAAGTCTACATCCAGGTATCCTCCCCACCACCCTCACAAAAAAAGCTGAACAGAGACTCAGATCTTATGGCAAAGTTTATAGCAGCATTATTCTCAGCAGCTGAAAGGCAGAAACAACCCAAGTTGTCTTCCAACAGATCAATGAACACACAAAATGTGGTACATATACAGGTGGAAGTACTGTTCAGGCGGAAGTACTGTTCAGTTGTAGGAAGAATGGAATTCTAATACATGCTTATAAGATAGATGAAACTTGAAAACGTTATGCTAAGAGAAATAAGCCAGATGCAGAAAGACAAATATTATATAACTATGTTTACATGAAATATTGAGACAAGAAGTAGAGCAGAGGGTAATGAGGGATGGGTAGACTACATCTTACTGCCTAGTAAGTACAGTGTTACAGTTTGAAGTAATGAGAAATTCAGGAAATAGACCAGTAATGGTGGTACTACATGGTGGATATAATCAATGCCATGAAATTTTACCCTCAGAGTGGTTAAAATGGTATATTTTGTTATATATATTTCACCACAATAAAAAAGTAAATTAAGTCAGTGGAGTGACTCAACAGGTGGAGTGCCTGCCTAGCAAGCATGAGGCCCTGAGTTTAAACTCCAGTACTGCCCACTCCCAAAAAAAAGTTAGTTAAAAAAATCATCACACAGATTTGGCCATACAATAGTTCCATAAAGTAGAGGTATGATTCAGGGCCTATGACATGAATTACATTTACTCTTCAATAATAAAGAAATATATGATGCCAACAGTTCAAAGTCAAGACGTGAATAAAGCTCTCATTACTAACAGATATGTTGATTTGACTTGAAGATAAAATGACTAAGCAGGCTTTTATAAGTATCTATTTCTTCAGCAATCTGAAATAAAGTAGTGGCAACAAAGTTCCTTGTGCAAGAGATACTGACAATCACCATTTAACAACCATCCAATTGCTTCTTTTAAAGGCTTGAAAAGCATTAAGGGCTAAATATGGAAAAGACCCTGGGCTCCACCTTCCTCCAAGATTAAATCTTGAGATGCCAAGGATTACATCTGGCTTCCTTGAATGTGTATGAGGAAATAACAATAAATGTAGAGCAGGAGGTCTGAACACTAAGTTGTAATTTATGTTTTGTATTTTCTCTAATTATCATGTAGGTCACAAACTACTTATGGCTTTGTCAACAATAAATATCAGATAACTTGTTTTAGGCTATTGTACTTTGTTCTAGATAAAATTCAAGTAATATTTTCAATGGTCCATATATGTTTTATATATAATTCAGTTAAATTTAAGACTTTAAGAGATGCATACCAGGGGTAGATAGACAGCTTAGTGGTGTATAGCACTTGCCTAGCATGCACAGGGTTCCTGGGTTTGATCCCAGCACCTCAAAAAAAAAAATTAAAAAAAAAAAAAAGATACACATCTCAGACAGAAAGAATCAGAATACCTAACAAGCTCTGGTCTTTCATGCAGACTGCAGGCTCCCTTACACATTCATGTCAAGGAGGAAACCAGGTGGAAACCTGGTGTCCACGTTCAAAGTTTTAAGTGCTATGAGAATGTTTTGAGAGATATTTCAGAGGGTTTTTCTTCCTTAATTTGATAGTGAAAAAGAGAAATCGCAAATTTCATAATTTTATATTCTAGGACATTTCCCAACACACCAGCAAGTGAAATCCCAGATTCTATCTTAATCAATTAATTAAGGTACTGGGGATTGAACCGAGGGCCTAAGGCCTGCTAGGCAAGTGCTTGATGATGTCAGCCATGCTCCAATCCCCATCTTTTTCTTTAATTTTTCCTTCCCATCTAAATAGAGTATTAGTTGCTCTTGCACACAAGGTAGGAATGACAATTCAACAGTAAACTAGTGCATATTCTCCAGGAGGAGTAGGTATGCAGGTGGCATGAAAGAAAAGTTGAGAAAGGGAATCACAGAATTTTACAAATGGAAGAGCCTTGGCCACCAACCAGATCTACTTTGGGGAGAGGTTATCACATCACCTATTTTTCTCCAGAAAAACTATGCCAACACTCCTTCCCAGTATTTCGGTTCCCAGCTACTATCACCAATAGAATGTCTGGTATCTCTCAGGTGTGCCAAGACAGAACAAGCTGAAAACCTCATCTCTTAATAGTTATAGCCTGGGTCAATGAGTGGCCAAAAGGTTAGAGATTTTATATATATATATATATATAATATATATATATATATATTTATATATATATATATTTATATATTTATATTTATTTATTTATTTTTGGCGGTACAGCACATTGAACCCATTGAACCATGCTTAGTAGGCAAGGCAGGTCTCTATCAGTGAGTAAACCCCCAGGCCAAGACAGTCTTAATGCTTTAAGAACCCACGTTCACATTTCTCATTACTCTGCACTTCTACCTTTTTTGCTCTAAAATGAATGTGATAGCCTAAAACAAGTTATTTGGAATCAGCATGGAATGTGTTACATCAGATAACTGAAGCTGACTAGGAATGGTATTAAACAGGGAAATATAAATTTTTTTAAAGAAAAAAGAACAAATTCCTTCTGTATTTTATAATATGCATCTTTGTCTTCTGAGCTGCACATGCATGAGGTATGCTCCTTCTCCAGTCAAGTCAGGACTCTTTCTCTAACACCCTCCGCTTCTGTGTAGTTCCTTATAAGTTCAACTTAGATTCCTCCCTCCCTCCCTCCTTTTCTCTCAGGAGGACCATGGTTTAAGGCCACTTTGGGAAAATAATTTGCGAGACCCAATCTCCAAAATAACCAGAGCAAAATGGACTGGAGGTGTGGTTCAAGAGGTACAGCACCTCCCTTGCAAGGGTGAAGCCCTGAGTTCAAATTCTAGTCCCATAAAATAAGTATTTCTGACTAATCCTTACTTGATACTTACTTGGTAAACTGAAGACTAACCTCTGAGAACCTGCAAATGCTTCATTAGTATAATGAAAACTAAGATAAGGGTAAATTTGGGAACAAATAACTTCTCGAACCCATGAGAACCAAAATAGCCACATCGTGAAAATCACAACTGGTAAGTGGGATGAAGTGGAGGGTTTCTGGGTTTGCAAGCCACGTTGTGGTCAACCTGCTAACACTGCTCTGAGATCTGCCTGGAGATCCTTCTATGTATTTTTTAGTAACTCAACTCTCTCATTTAGCATTCTTCCTGCCCAGGTCTCATTGGTAAGAAGATATCCAAGCTTGTTAAGACTGGGAGTTGGCCTAAACATTATTCAAAATGACAGTTATTTTAACCATATTATTTCCTGTAACAGGAAACATGTGCCACAGATCTATTTTCCCCTTTAATGGCTTTCATAAGTTACACCAGGTTATTTAATCAAAGCCTGAGAAACTGTAAATAACAATGCTACTTCAAAGAAAAAAAAAAAAACAGAAATAAGACATATTTTTTAACACCAGGTTGATGCAATCAGAAAAATGAACTGCAAATATTTTCTTGTAACAGTAACGATTAACAGTAGTAGTTATTTATTCTGGGTAAATGGTAAAGAATTAATATTTTAATTTAGTTTTTTGTCATGCAGCTTAGAAAGCAGAGAGAAAAAGGGTGTGTGTGTGTGTGAAATGACTGTGGGTGGTACTCATCTGCATAACCACCTTTGTAAGGTTTTTCTCAAGAATTGTATTATTTTTCTTTAGATTGCCCTTTGCCTGTAAGAACAGTCTTTTTCAAAATTTCCTTTGAGAATCTCTTCACCTACCATTCATAGGACTGAACTTAACTCAGAATTAGGCAAGGATGATTAAAGATGAAATCAAAAGCTGGGCATCAGTGGCTCACACCTGTAATCCTAGCTACTGGGAAGCTGAGATAGGGAGGATCACAGTTCAAGGCAAGCCCAGGCAAATAGTTCACAAGACCCCATTTCCAAAATATCCAGAGCAAAATGGACTGAGAGTGTGGCTCAAAAGGTACAGCAACTGCTTTGTAAGCATGAAGTCCTGAGTTCAAACCCTAGTACCACAAAAAAAAAAAAAAAAAAAAAAAAAAGGCTGGGTGCTGGTGGCTCACAATCCTATTTACTCAGGAGACAGAGACCAGGAGGATCATAGTTTGAACCAGCCTGGGCCCAACACAAGTCAATTTCATGGGATTCTATAGTTTTAGCAACAGCCTCAGACGAATATGGGCATATATACACATATTGTAGGTTGGTTCCAGACCACAGCAATAAAGCAAGTACACAATAAAGTGAGTCCCATGATTTTTTTTTGTTTCCTAGTCCTATAAAGTTGTTTACACTGTAATTACACATTATAATGTACATACTATAATTACTGTGCAGCAGTATAATGTTGAATGTACATATATTGATCATAAAATACTTCACTGCTAAAGAATGATGACCATTTGAGCCTTCAATGACCTGCAATTCTGTGCTGGCTACTTCCCTTACTTCCTGACAGAAGTCTTGAACCTCTCAAAGTCAAAAATGAGGACAGGAACTCCTCATTTTAATAGTAACTCTTGTTACTATTGATATTCTGATCTCTTTCCATGAATCACAAATGTTCTTATTAACATGTAGAATGCAAATCCTTCCCAGGTTTTCAATTTACTTTGCTCAGATTCATTACAAGAATCACTGTTTTTACTACAGAATGAGCATTAGAAAATGCATTTCTTAGTAAGACTTGAAAGTCAAAATCAGTCCATGATCCCTGGGCTGCAAAATGACATATGCAAAGCAGGCATGAGAACAACGTTGCTCTTGTTATCCATCTTCACTGGAGCACT